TCCACTGTTCGTTTTCTAAAATCTTTATTTGAGAGGCAGAGGGACCAAGAGAGTGGTCCCATCTGGTGATGTACTTCTCAGATGCCCTCAGTGGCCAAGGGCGGGGTGGGCTGGGCCGAAGCTGGGGACTGGGAGCTCTGTCCAGTTCTCCCGTGTGGGTGGGAGAGACTCAGTCACTTGAGCTGTCCTGGTTGCCACCCAGGGTCTGCATTAGCAGGAACTGCTCTCGGGCATTGAACCCAAGCGCTTTGATACGGGATGTGGGTGTCTGAGCTAACACCCACCTCCATTCTTAGATTAGTATGTGTTTGTCTTAATTTCTGTTGCTCCCATCTCCCAACTAGAGTCTAAGGGAAGAATTTATGAGAAACCATGCTTTGAAATCTTGGGAGGCACAGGGCTTTCCACCTTTACTGACACGTTAGCAGCCCTAATGAGGAGCCAGTGTGCCTCACCTCTGGCAGTGATAGGCTCAGGTCCCTCTGCCTCACAGGGACATGGGACTTGGTGTCCTAAAGAAGGACGGACAGTGCCATTTTGCCTCTTGACTGTGAGCAGTTATGTCAGGTGACACTGTTGGGGTTCCCTGGTCATGGTAGGTGACTGAGACCGCTCGGCGCTGGCCTGGGCAGTGCCAGCCGGGCAGTGGTGTCTGGGTCAGTCTTTTTTTGCTTCTGGCATCTGCGTGTGCGGCTCTGAGAGGGAAGATGCATCACAGAGTGCTGGGGTTTGCTGTGAGAAGTCTGCAGACCCCCAAACTCCGTGTTTCTCCACGGAGCAGGCTGCTCTTCTCACGTGCACGTGTGCGTCCTTACGTGACTCCCTCTTTGATCTTGAGGAGAGGAAGCCTCTATCTCGCAAATGCAGACTGAAGCTAATGTAGGTCCTTGGTTTTCCCGTCCCCATATTTTAGAAACCATTGTCTTGTCCTGTCCTGTCCTGTCCTCCCCTCCCCTTCCCTCACCTTCCCTCCGCTCCCCTTCCCTTCCCTTCCCTCCCCTCCCCTCCCTTCCCTCACCTCCGCTCCCCTTCCCTTCCCTCCCCTCCCCTCCCCTCCCCTTCCCTTCCCTCCCCTCCCCTCCCCTTCCCTCCGCTCCCCTTCCCTCCCCTCCCCTCCCCTCCCCTCCGCTCCCCTTCCCTCCCCTCCGCTCCCCTTCCCTCCCCTTCCCTCCCCTCCCCTCCGCTCCCCTTCCCTCCGCTTCCCTTCCCTTCCCTCCCCACCCCTCCCCTCCCCTCCCCTTCCCTATTTAGTAAATATAAATTTCCAAAGTACAGTTTATGGATTACAGTGGCTTCCCCCCCACATAATTTCCCTCCCATCTCCCGCTCCCTCTCCCATTCCATTCACAGAAACCATTTCTTTTCTTTACCACTTTGAGATTTCGTGTGTTTGTGTTTACTCACAATAATAGAATGCTTTCACAAGGAAGTTAGCTGCTGTCCGGATATTTCCGTATGTTCCCTGGAATCAGATAAGTTCATCGTAAATAGTATTGGGGGGGAAGAGTTGGTATTGGCCAAATAAAATGCGAATATACTTTGTGTTTTCCAGCATATGCTAATCCTTTAACTTAGTTCATTGTCTGTGTCTATGTAAATAAGCTTTAGAATTTTAATTAATAGGGTAAATGATTCATTTTATAACTTTTTTTTTTTTTTGACAGAGTTATAGACAGTGAGAGAGAGGGAGAGACAGAAAGGTTTTCCTTCTGTTGGTTCACCCCCCAAATGGCCACTACAGCCAGTGCTGCACCCATCCGATGCCAGGAGCTTCTTCCTGGTCTCCCATGCGGGTACAGGAGCCCAAACACTTGGGCCATCCTCCACTGCCTTCCCAGGCCACAGCAGAGAGCTGGACTGGAAGAGGAGCAACCTGGACTAGAACTCGGGGCCCATATGGGATGCCAGCGCTGCAGGTGGAGGATTAACCAAGTGAGCCACGGTGCCGGCCCCTCCTTTTATAACATTTTAAGTTTTGTTTCTATAGTTGTTTAATATTCAATATTGTGGGGCCAGCGCTGTGGTGCAGTGGGTTAAGCTGCTGTCTGCTGTGTTAGCATCCCATATGGGCACTGGTTTGAGTCCTGGCTACTCCACATGCCCCGGTCAATGTCTTTGCCACTCAGCCAAACACCTGTCCATGGACAAGATCAAATCACCTATCCTTCTCCCCCACACTTTACTGATGCTTTAAGGTCCATTTTGGCAATTCTGTACTTTGATTTATCTTAGAAGTTAGCAAGTGTGTGTGCCCTCGTGTGTGTGTGCCGTGTGTGTAAAAGAGAGACTAGAACAGGTCCTGTGTGAAAAGTTAAAAATAGGCCATTGATCTGACTTATGCCTGAAAGGGGAGATTGTTCAGAAAGTTTTCCTTTAAAGTTCTGGCTTTCCACACAGAATGTATGAATTTTCTATAAAAAGTTGTTTTTTTTTTTTTTAATCTATTTTATTTGAAGGTCAGAATTACAGAGAGAGAGGGAGAAGCAAAGAGATGATCTTCCATCCCCTGGTTCATTCCCCCAGATGGCTGCAGCAGGAGCCAGGAGCTTCGTCTGGGTCTCCCACATGCGTGCAGTGGCCCAAGGACTTGGGCTTTCTTCCACTGCTTTCCCAGGCACATTAGCAGGGAGCTGGATTGGAAGTGGAGCAGCTGGGACTTGAACCAGTGCCCATATGGGATGGCAGCTTAACCCACTGTGCCACAGTGCTGGCCCCAAGAAGTTCTTATTGGTCATGAAAATTTAGACACATTCATCTTTTAAGTGTGTAAGCTTGTTTTATGACGCATTCTTGTTCTACCATCCACGCTGCTTGTTTTCCAGTTGGGATACCAAGGAAGAGAACAATTCTGTCCTGTTTTTGTTTTTGTTTTTTAAAGATTTATTTCCTTATTTTGAATGCCAGAGTTACAGAGAGGGAGAGACAGAGAGGGATAGCTTCCATTCTCTGGTTGACTCCCTAGATGGCTGCAATGGTCAGTGCTGGGCCAGTCCAGAAGCCAGGAGCCAGGAGCTTCATCCAGGTCTCCCACGTGGGTGGCAGGGACCCCAACACTTGAGCCACCTTCTGCTGCCCTTCCCAAGCCATAGGCAGCAAGTTGGATTAGAAGTGCCATAGCCTGGACACAGACTGTTGCCTCTATAGGATGCCAGCTTTGCAGGCAGCAACAGCACCAGCCCCTCTGTCCATGCTGTAACCCTTGAACATGCAATGAGAGAAGAAAGAATCCATGATCCTGGAAAGTCGGCTTCCTGCCCCGGCTGCTCGAGGGGAGTAGGGGTGAAGACAACAAGTGGGTGCACGTGGTTTGAAAAGGGGGGAATCTTGTACTTTTGCTTTGATGCGTTTTTAGTCATGGTAATTTAATTTATATTCTAGATAAAGTCAAAAAGATAATCAGTTATTTCAGAATTATCTTTACGTTATATGCTTTGAATGTTTTAGTGGAGCCTTCATAGGAATAGTGGAAATTTAGTTTCCTGTTTCTCTTGTATGAGTCCTGAACAGGTTTTAATAAGAATTCCTATTCTTCAAGAAAAAGAAGCATTGAAGTGTGGCAAGTTTACTTTCATAGAATGATGGTAGTTAGTAGTTGTTTCATCTACAACTGCTGGTTCAGGATTTTTTAATTTTTGTCTTGAATATATCGTCTCGTTCCTCAGAGAAAGAGACAGAGAACACTTGCAAATGCCTGGCTACACATTGCTTTTGTTGTTGTTGGTAATAAGGTAGTTAGAGAGTTAAAGTAGTTCTAAAAATGCTAGGAGGCTGCCCCACGTCTTATCCAGTTCTCTTCTAATGCAGCAGGTTGTAGCCAGAGTGCTTGGGTCCCTCCACCCATGTGGGAGACCTGTGTGGAGTTTCAGGCTCCTGGCTTCGGCCTGGCCCAGCCATCGTGGCCATTTGGGGAATGAACCAGTGGATGGAAGAAAACTCTTCTCTCTCTAACTCAGTCTTTCAAATGAAATAAATAAGTCTTTTAAAAAATGCTACAAGGGGCCAGTGTTGTGGTGCAGCCGGTCAAGCCGTCACTTGAGACACCAGCATCTAGAATGGAGTGCTTTTTGGAGTCCCAGCTGTTCCAGTTCCAGTCCATCTGCTTGTTAATGTGCCTGGGAAAGCAGCAGCAGATGGCCCAAGTACTTGGGTTCCTATCACCCATGTGGAGATCTGGATGGAGTTTCTGCCTGCTGGCTTCAGCCTGATACAGCTCTTGACTATTGCAGGCATTTGTGGAGTGAGTCATCAGGTGGAAGATTCTGTGTGTGTGTGTGTGTGTGTGTGTATATGTGTGAATGTCTGTCTGTCTCCTTTTCTATTATTCTGACTTCCAAAATCTTTTTTTAAAAATGCTATGGAAAGCATGACTTTAAAGACCTCAGTGAGGACACTGCTGTGTGGAATCACCGGCCCCTGTCGTGGTGGCTGAGTTTTACTGTGCCGGGAGCTCTGTGGGGACAAGGGCAGCGACAGTCTTGTTATTTCTGCCTGAATGTTCGGGCAGCAAACTGGTGGCTCCAGGTTGAAGGACATTGCTTAGTTAAGACTGTTTGCATTTTTCCCACACTTGAATATGAAAATTTCAGACATACAGTGACATGGAAGCAGTTGTGCTGTGAGCAGCTGTGTGCCCGCCTCTAGTTCCTGCCATCTGCATCCTGCTGTACTCATTTCATCACACGTGTCTATCTCTTCATCAATCTGTTTTACTGTTGATGCATTTCAAAGATTTCCCGGACTATCCCGTTGTGTTTCGGGACCAAAGTTTGAATTGGTGGAAAAGAGGTAACGAGGAGTCAGTTTTAGATGTCAGAGGTATGCTGACAAGTTGTGATCCTTACTAACGTTCCTATGATTTTGACATTTTTTGCAGCGTTTGATGTAATCTACTGGACATTCCGCAGTGGCTGAGAATCATGATGGTGTGAATGCAGACTGTGCGTGTTTGCTGTCGCTGTTGCAAACAGCCCGGGGCTCACTCTCTCCTGTATTTTCTGTAGGAGTAGCCCATCGAAGCCAGAGCAGTGAAGGAGTCAGTTCTCTGAGCAGCTCGCCCTCCAATAGCCTTGAAACGCAATCTCAATCTCTCTCACGTTCCCAGAGCATGGATATCGATGGTGTCGCTTGTGAGAAAAGGTAAAGCGAAGCCGATTTTCTACTGTGCTCTTCTACTTTCGGAGAGGGAGGAAGCTCCGCTCACTTCAGTCCAGTAGTCTCAGATGCCAGCCCGGAGCCCCCTGCCAGGCCTTAGCTTCACAGCCACGTTCATTACAGTCTTTGTATTATTCTGAAAAGTTCTTTAGGTAGCTTTCCGTGTTTATATTTTATGAAATCCTGGCATAGGAGGTAAAGCAGTCTCCTTCATATCCTAGTTTTGTAAATACAACATTGGAAAGCCTCCTCGAAGTGTACTGAACAGTGAAATGTGGAAGCGTGGACACTTTGAGGCAGGAAGGCCAGTACTCTGCTGGCTCCTGAGGACTGGGGTCCCATTCAGAGCCCACTCCTGCTGCAGGTGTGCTGGATCGGGTGGCAGCGTGGCCGCACTGTTGATTCTACTCTTCCCTGGGCAGGTGGGACCTGCAGGCTCCACCTCGTCTGCTGGTGTCCCTGGGGCAGGCGGACATCGTGCCCTGCTGGTGTCCCCGGGGCAGGTGGATGCAGGATGCAGGAGACTGTGAAGCACTCACGGGTGCGCATGTTGAGCTCCAGCCCTTGGTGGGATGAAGCTGAGATCAGACATGAGGCAAGAATTCAGGAAAAGATCAACTAGAAAAATCATGTATTCTGCAGCATAAGAATAATTTTGTTTTTATTTTTGCTTGGGGTAGAGGTTTTTTGTTTTTGTGTTTGTTTTCTTAAAGCTGAGATCTCACAGCAGCTAGTTAACTTTTGTGTGTGTGTGGGATCCAGATTTACACTTGGTGTAATTTGGAAAGACTTAAGCTAGCAATTGCCGTGTACGATCAGTGCAGACCCATATAATGCCTTCAGAAGGCAGAAGCGGACACAGATCATTTAAATCTTCAGAGAATTTTCTTACAAGAAATAGTAGTTCATGGCCAAAAGTCACAAAACACTCTGGAGAGTAAGTCACTATGAGTAAGACTCACCAAAACCCTAACAACAGAAGTACCCTGCAAAGGTCTTTGTGTTCTGGAATTATCAAATACAAGATGCAAAGAAAGTGTGCTTAAATAACAAAGGGAATTAAAGAGGCAGGCATTTGGCACTGGGTAAAGACACCCATGGGGACACCTGTGGGTATCTGAATACCTCATTCAAGTCTTGGTTCTGCTTCTGATTCCAACTTCCTGCTAATGCACACCCTAGGAGATAGCAGGTGATGGCTCAAGTACTTGGGTCTCTGCTGCCTTCATGGGAGATTGGACTGAGTTCCAGGCTCCTGGCTTTGGTCTGCTACAGCCCTGGCTATTATGGGCATTTGAGGAGTGAACCAGAAGAAGCAAGATCTGTCTCAGTGTCTCTCTGTCCTTCAAATAACTGAAAAAGAGATAAGTAGTTTTGTTTTGTTTTTGACAGGCAGAGTGGACAGTGAGAGAGAGAAAGGTCTTCCTTCGCCGTTGGTTCACCCTCCAATGGCCACCGCGGCTGGCCCACAACACTGATCCGAAGGCAGAAGCCAGGTGCTTCTCCTGGTCTCCCATGGGGTGCAGGGCCCAAGTACTTGGGCCATCCTCCACTGCACTCCCTGGCCACAGCAGAGAGCTGGCCTGGAAGAGGGGCAACCGGGACAGAATCCGGCGCCCCGACCGGGACCACAACCCGGTGTGCCGGCGCCGCAAGGTGGAGGATTAGCCTAGTGAGCCGCAGCGCCAGCCGCAGCATCTATCTTAACTGCTGCACCAAATGCCCACTCCAGGGTTGAGATTTTTTTTTTCTAGAGTTGATAAATAATCTGAATCCTCAGATTTAGTGTGTGTAGCAAATCCCAAATTAGAGAAACAAAGAAAAATTTGCACCTAGACATTTTATAGTAAAATTGCACAACACTAAGCCACAGACTTTTTTTTTTTTTGACAAAAAAATTTTTTTATAGATTTATTTATTTCAGAGGCGGAGTTAGATAGGAGTGACACTGGATCACTCCCCAAATGGCCACAGTGGCTGGAGTTGGGCCGATCCAAAGCCAGAAGTCAGGAGCTTCTTCTGTGTCTGCCACGTGGGTGCAGGGGCCTAAGGAGTTAGGCCATCTCCTGCTGCCTTCCCAGGCACATCAGCAGGGAGCTGGATCAGAAGTAGAATCTGAAATCCATGCATATGAGGGGTGTTTAAAAAATTTGTGAAAATGCATGTTATGCAAAAGCTACACATGAATTTCAAAATTTTGGCCACTGAAATAAACTCAATTTGAAATTTCATTTTCCATGAACTTTTTGAAGTACTTCCCTGTTATTTGGGCAAAGGGTAAAGAAACTGGCTAACTTTTAGATTGTGACTTAAGGATGTTTGCTAATATTTCAGGAGTCACCATTGAAAGATTAGCAGTAGAATACTGTGGTTCCCTGTTATCTTCAGATGTGTTAGAAGACCCCTAGTGGATGCCCGAGACCCTGGGAAGGGCTGAACCCTGTGTGTGCCGCCCTGTGTCACCTAGCAGTGGGGATGGCTTCTGAGAAGTGTCTCACGAGCTAATTTTGTTGTTGTATGAACATCCTGGATGACTACATCATCACTGCACATTTATGATCACCATCATAAATGTGATCTAAAACTGACCAAAATGTTCTCAGCACATGACTGTATTTTTGTTTTCTTTAAAAATTATTATTATTATTATTATTAGTTTTGAAAGGTAGAGAGAGAAAGAGAGCTAGAGACAGATGGACATGTTGACAGAAAGAAAGTGCTCCCATTTGCTGGCTCACTCCTGAAACGCTTGCAGTGGCTGGGCCCAGTGGAGCTGGGTAGCTGGAACCTACTCCAGTTCTGCCAGGTGTCCTGTGCGTCTGTATTACCAGCAAAGGAGTCAGAAGCAGAGCACCAAAAGCAGGCGCTCATCGCGTGTGGGCATGGGTGTCTGCACTGCAAGGCTGGTCACGCCCTGCTGTATTTTCCTGTATCCCCCGCAGCATTGCCGCACAGCACTGGAGTGAGTCTGTCTTCGCAGGCTCCATGCTGTGTGTCTCCTTTGCAAACTGGTCTTGTACTTCGGGCTATTCTAAGTAAACAAGGATTACTTGAAATAAGCACTGGGATAACATTGACAGCAGATCCGATCTCTGAGGCGGCTGGCTGCTGAGTGATGACAGCACACGGTGTGTGCTGGGAGAAGGTCTTTCATGCCCCAAGTGGGTGGGGAGGTCCAAGATTTCATCAGGCTCGTGTGAAAATTAAAGCTTAACAGATTGTTTATTTCTGGAATTTTCCAGTTAATATTTTTGACCATGGGTAACTGTACCTGCAGAAGGTAAAACGGCAGATAATAGGGGACTGCTGTGTCTTCCAAACCCGTGAGGGAAGAGGATGGAACAGAGAGATTGGGGTGAGGATGGAGGGAAAGTAAATCAATTCAAAGGGAATAAAATAAAAATTTTAAAAGACAAATAGCACAAAATAAAGTGGTAACAAAAACCCAGAATATGTCAGTGATCACAATAAATTGTAGTTAAAAGTCAAAATAGAACCCAGCAATTTATTGAAAACAAAACAGATCCGGCTTTATTTTTCTTTACAGAGGACATGCCTGGGACGTTAGGGCAGAGAGAAATTAAAAGGAAGGGGCCCGTGCTGTGGCATTGAGTTAAAGCCACTGCCTGCAGTGCCAGCATCCCATATGGGCACCAGGACTGCTCCACTTCTGATCCAGTTCCCCGAGAATGCAGCAGGGGAAGCAGCAGAGGATGGCCCCAGGGCTTGGGCCCTGCAGCCACGCGGGAGACCCAGAAGAAGCTCCTGGCCCAGCCCCTGGCTATTGCAGCCATTTCGGGAGTGAACCTGTGGATGAGAGATCTCTCTCCCCACCTCCCCCTACCCCACCTCTGTTACTGTGCCTTTCAAATAAATAAATCTTTTAAAAAAAGGTCTAAAGGGAAGATTGAAACAGGCAAACACTAGAAGAAGATTAGGGTAAGGGTATTAATAAGTTAGACTTTCAGGCACCAAGAGTTACTAGAAATAAGCATTCTGTAATGTTACATGTCTAGTTATCAGTAGAATGTTAACAGTTTCAAATGTCTATATACTTTGTAATATAATATCAACATGTAATAAAGCAAATGCTGCAAATATTACAAGAAACTGACAACATATGTAACAATGGGAGATTTTTTAACATCTGTTTTACCTGACGGTAGATTAAGGAGAATAAACATGAGTAAGCACAGACAAATTAACAGCATGGCTAACAAGCCTGACCTAACTGAAAGATACAGAACTGGCACCCTACACATGGAAAATATACTTTATTTTCCAGTACTCATCTGTCAAAAGCCTGAGGAGTCAGAATGAGACAGGTTATGTTTTCTGACTAGTAGTACATGATGTTAGAACATTAAGATAGACCTGGCTGACGCCAAAGCTTACACTAGGTTAATCCTCCGCCTGCGGCGCCAGCACCCTGGGTTCTAGACCCAGTCAGGGTGCTGGATTCTGTGTGGTTGCTCCTCTTCCCGTCCACGTCTTTGCTGTGGCCTGGGAAGGCAGTGGAGGATTGCCCAATTCCTTGGGCCCTGCACCCGCATGGGAGACCAGGAGAAGCACCTGGCTCCTGGCTTCGGATTGGCACAGCGCCGGCCGTAGCGGCCATTAGGGGGGGTGAACCAAAGGAAGGACCTTTCTCTCTGTCTCTCTCTCTCTCTCACTGTTTAACTCTGCCTGTCAAAAAAAAAAATAATAAGATAGACCTTTTTTTTAATATTTATTTATTTATTTGACAGATAGAGTTAGACAGTGAGAGAGACAGGTCTTCCTTCCGTTGGTTCACCCCCTGAAAATGGCCGCTACGGCTGGAGCTATGCCAATCTGAAGCCAGGAGCCAGGTGCTTCTCCTGGTCTCCCATGCAGGTGCAGGGCCCAAGCACTTGAGCCATCCTCCACTGCACTCCCGGGACACAGCAGAGAGCTGGCCTGGAAGAGGGGCAACCGGGACTAGAACCCGGCACCCATGTGGGATGCCGGCACCACAGGCAGAGGATCAACCAAGTGAGCCATGGCGCTGGCCCAAAAGATAGACCCTTTTTTTTTTTTTTTTTTGGACAGGCAGAGTGGACAGTGAGAGAGAGAGACAGAGAGAAAGGTCTTCCTTTGCCGTTGGTTCACCCTCCAATGGCCGCCGCGGCCAGCGCACTGCAGCCAGCGCACTGCAGCCAGCGCACCGCGCTGATCCGATGGCAGGAGCCAGGTGCTTCTCCTGGTCTCCCATGGGGTGCAGGGCCCAAGCCCTTGGGCCATCCTCCACTTCACTCCCTGGCCACAGCAAAGAGCTGGCCTGGAAGAGGGGCAACCGGGACAGAATCTGGTGCCCCGACCGGGACTAGAACCCGGTGTGCCGGCGCCGCAGGCGGAGGATTAGCCTAGTGAGCCGTGGCGCCAGCCAAGATAGACCTTTAAAAACAGTTTGACAACTTTAAATGCAGGCCAGTTCAAAGAAATCACAATGGAAATCTGAAAGTATCTTGAACTGAATAATAAAATATTACATACCAAAATTTCCTTACTGTTATTGAATTGTTTCTTAGAGCAAGATACGAAGCTTTACACATACTAGAAATGAATGAAGGAAAACAGAAAACTAACAGAGAATTCTGAGAACAGATCTTTTCTGGAACGCTCTTCCCTGGTTGTGGCTGTGGCTGGCCAGGCCCACCCAGCTGAAGCAGGAAGTGGCTGCTCCCTTAATTGCCTTTTCTCTGCTCATTTGTATTTCATTTTCCCAGAGCATTTATCCTTTAATATATGTTTTACATATTGTGTTTATTCTCTAGCTAGGATATAGCTCTCTGTGGTAGGGTTTTTTGTTGTTTGTTTGTTTGTTTTTAGTGTCTTGTTTATCTAAAACAATGCCTACACGAATGGGCATTCAGTATCATTTGTAATTGAAGAGTATTCTATGAAAAATTAGTATGGAAAGTGCATATAAATTTCAAAATTTGAATGAAAATGAATTTTGTAGAAAAACATTATTCTCCCCAAACTGACTCAAGGAGAAAAAACTGAAATAATCAAAAGTTAGAGAATAAATTTGAGTCTGTATTTTGTAATTTTCCAAAGAAAAAATTTTAAGTTTTTTTTTTAAATTTTATTATTTGACATAGACTATGATAGGCAGATTAATTTTCTGTCTGCTCCTTTGTTTTCCAAAAACTGCAGCAGCTGGGGCTAGCCCAGGTTGAAGTTGGGAGCTAGAAACTCAGTCTGAGTCTCTCACATAGGAGGCAGAGAGCCAACCAGTTGAGCCATCACCTGCTGTCGCTGAGGGTATGAAGCAGCAGGAAGCTGGAACTGGAACAGAGCTGTAACTGAAGCTCGGGCACTCCAGAATGGGGGCGGCGTCCCAAGGATGTCTTAACTGCAGGCCAAACACCCACCCCTGAGGAAGAGTTTTAAATTTTCGCTGCTTATATGATTTTCTAGGTAATTCTAATTTTACAGATTTTTTTCCAGGTAATTAAAGAAGTAAGAAACACTTGTACTCAATTTACAGGGCTTATATGACCTTAATATAACCAGATAAGAATAATATCACAGAATGAAACCAATAACATAGCCATACTCATGAACATATGTATTTGCAGAAATCTTAGGATAATTATATATCAGATATCATAACGCATAAAAACCAACCCAATTCTAGTCTGAAGCTAGATGCCAGGACCATGGTCACTTGTGGGCCAGGGCAGTAGTGATTGCAGCAGTCAGGGGGTTTGAGGATAACACTGATGTTCTGTGTCCTCTTCTGGGGGTTAATTCCATTACTCTAGGAGAGTTTATTTAGCCAAATACCTGCACACTTTTCTGTATATATATATTTCAATTATAGGTTTACTTAAAAAATAATGTAATAGAATTGATGGGCAGCAGCTTGAGTTTATCTCCAATTCAGAGGTGTGTTAACATTAGACAAATTTATAAATATCATCCACTATATTATATATTAAAGGGAAAGTCCTTATAATATTGCTGACTGCAGGTTTGGTGTAATTCCACATCAAGTCATGATAAAAACCTAAGCCAGTGAGGAACAGACAGAAGTACCCGTAAGCTGACAGCATGGCAGAGACAGGTTACCCAGTGTCCCACAAGCACCCCGCCATTTCCCAGTCTCCTTTGCAGTTAGAGTGGGGCCCAGTGACTAGTTCTGCCAGGAGACTGTGAATGGGAGTGACATATGTCACTTCTGGGTGAAGGCAGTGAGCCGATGTTCCTCCTCCATCCCTCTCTTCTCTTGCTCCAGTGACCTTGGAGGCTGTGTATTGCAGATGGCATAGATTAAAGATGGAGTAAGGATGCTTCACTCTCATCAGACTTTGCGTAAGCAAGAAATAAACCCCTATAGTGTTAAGCCTCTAAGATTTCCAAGTGTATGTGTTTCACCAGCATAGCCTATCTTCTTCTGACTGTTATTAAGGGCATCTACCAAAAACTGCAGTAACTCTGATATTCAGTAGTGAGACACTGGAATCACTGTCTTTAAAATCAAGAACAGAATGGAAATGACTGCTACTTCTGTTTCTGTGTACTGTGGGGCACTGCCAGAGCAGTAAATCAATTAAAGATTGGAGTGGAAGAAACAAAACAGTTACTATGTGGAGACAAATTGATTACCTGTGTATAAGTAAACAAGTTACTTACAAGAGATGTGTATTTAAAATAGATACATTACCATGTGCCCACAAGAGAAACTAGAAAACCTAATTGAAGAAAATGTTTACTGGAAAGGCAGGGAGGGAGGCAGAGACAGAGAGAGCTATCTTCCACAGTTCACTCCTCAGATGCCCACATTGGCCAGGCTGGGCCAGTACTGAAACCAGAGGCAGAAACTCAGAAAGTCTCCCGTTCGGGTGACAAGAGTTGAGCCATCACCGCTGCCTTCCAGGGTCTGCATTAGGAAGCTGGAGTCAGGAGCTGGAAGTGGGTGTTGAACTCAGGCGTCTTAACCAGTAGGTCAAACACCCATCCCCAAAATTTAATTTTTAAAAAGGTCCTGTTCACAATTGTGTTTCAAACTAGCTGGTACCTACGAATAATTCAGCAAAAGAAGGCTTAGAGTTTTGTAGAGAAAATAATACAAGATTATTGAAAGTTCTTAAGGAAGTTCTAAATGCACAAGAGATGTAACATGTTTCTCTCCAGTTTGATCTGTAGTCAATGAAATTCTAGTCTGCATCTCGGCGTTTTTAAGGAGCCCGTGATGCCGTGTAGAGAAGGCGTGGCCAGGACTCCCTGAAGGTAGAGCGGAGTGGAGGCATTCCTCCAGCAGAGCTCAGTGTATCTTGAGTTTTAGGAAGTTTTAGGAGTTCTGCTGGCCCAGGGACAGATTGTCCAGTGAGATATAGACTCCCCCCCCATCATTTGTGAAAATTGGACGTGTGTTACATGAGATTTCTTACTAATGTAAAAAGGATGGTCTTTTTAACAAATGGTGCTTTGGACTAATGTTTAATGCAGAGAAAAAATGATATGTACTTAACCAGTCTGTAATCAGACTTTGATTAAATTTTATATAATTTAAAAGTATGTATATAGAGTCTAATGATTTTTTTAAATGAGCCCAAGAAAATGGCAACTTGGGAAAAATATTTCCAACACATGTGAAACACAGAATGTTCTATTATGTGAAGGACTGTTAAAACTTAGTAAGAAAAAAAATGAGCTTTTTATCATTTTGCTGTCCGGATTTTGACTGATGTTTTAAGATTTTATCCAAGCAGCAGCTGTGACATTGTGTGGATTTATAAAAGGTAAAGGATGTGTTTGTCTTTTATGCTTAAGCATGTCCCAGGTGGATGTGGATTCAGGAATTGAAAACATGGAGGTTGATGAAAACGATCGAAGAGAGAAGAGGAGCCTCGGTGACAAGGTTGGTAGGAGCTGAAACACAGGCGGCAGTGTGGCTGCAGGTAATACACACGCCTTGTGGGCGCTGTTAGAGTAGTACACACGCCTTGTCCACGTGAGCCTTGTCAGCGTAGCACCCCAGCGCACACGCCTTGTCCACGTGAGCCTTGTCAGCGTAGCACCCCAGCGCACACGCCTTGTCCACGTGAGCCTTGTCAGCGTAGCACCCCAGCGCACACGCCTTGTCCACGTGAGCCTTGTTAGTGTAGCACCCCAATACACACGCCTTGTCCACGTGAGCCTTGTCAGCGTAGCACCCCAATACACACGCCTTGTCCACGTGAGCCTTGTCAGCGTAGCACCCCAGCACACGCCTTGTCCACGTGAGCCTTGTTAGCAGATGCTGTGCTGGTGGTTTGTGTTCTCTGGAAGAAGCACGGGTAGCCTTGCTGTCCTGATGCTGCAGGGGGAACTCGGGCCTTTTGTGTGATCACATCCTTCAGCAGTCTTTGGTTCGGGTCCATGTTTTAGTCAGGAAATGTAGATTGTAATAAGAATTCAGAGGTAATTAGACTTTTTTTCTGTTAGTCTTTTGCTCCATCAAATATATGGTTATGTCGTCAGCAATCTTCTGTAGGAGCTGGTAGGGAACTGAAGCAAGCACGTGTAGAATCCAGGAGCAAGTAAAAGCATTTTGAAACCAGGAGGATTTTTGTATTTTGTTATGTGAACTTAAGTTCCCTATATTTAGGGTTTTTAAACATATGTATGTCTGCCTTGTTGGCGTCATGACAGAGGCAGTTGCAGCATTTTCTGCTCAGCAGGTAGCAGGACTTGTTCAGCAGCACATGACAATTAGAGTGGGAGTGTGGCCTCCTAGTGGTGCAGGGCTTTATGTTGTCTGCACTGTTTTCTCTGCAGTAGGCTGCAGTGAGAAATACGAAATTGTAGATCAGTTCCTGAAGGAAAATTGGTTATTTACCTAAACCGTTAGCCTGGTGCTTTGAAGTTGAGACGAGACGAGGGAGGACGCAGGCGCATCCTTCAGCATGCTTCCTCCTGGGCGGCTCCCAGGGACACCCTTGCCCTTTTATGCTCCCATGGGGATTGCTCCCGAGACCTCAAGGTTGTGAGTAGTCGAGTAACTGTTTATTTTCCTGTAATCAGTGTGGATGGTTGAACATAGTTTGAAAATATCCTCCTTAGTGAATTAAGTCAGAATGAATGAAAGATTCCTCCTTATGTGTTTGACTCATCCCTCCTGTTGGAAATTAACCCCTGAATCTTCTTCCTTACCAGGAGCCTTCCTCGGGCCCTGAGGTGTCCGAAGAGCAGGCCTTACAGCTGGTCTGTAAGATCTTCCGCGTCTCTTGGAAGGATCGCGACAGAGATGTTATCTTTCTTTCTTCTCTTTCTGCACAGTTTAAGCAGAACCCAAAAGAAGGTAGGACTTGCTCAGCAATCTTCTTCCAGAGTGCTTCTAAGGGAATAACGTGTGAGACTTCGTGCCGTCTCACTTCAGAGCTGTGTTTTAGACTTTGGACATGCCTGTTGGTGAGAACAGTACTGGGTAGCCATTATTTTCCCTCTCCACTGATCCTACTGAGAAGTTATTTTTCTCCTTTCCCGATTTCTACAAAAGAAATGATAAAAAATAAGTTAATGACCTCCATTGTCTCAGGGTTGAAGTTTTTTCCTTTTCAGAAAGAAGGGGCTTAGAGGCTTCACTCCTCTTAGAAAGTGGGAGTGCCTGGGTCTGTCTTGGAGCTCTGAGAGAGGCACTCGCTGTGCCTGTACCTGCTTCCAGTGCCTCCCAGGCGTGTGCTGACAGTGGACTGAATCCGTCTGATTGAATTACATAGCAAGGCAGAGCATGATGGCATCTTGCTGTGTCTCCAGGATTCTGTTTTAAGAGGCTTTGCAAAGCCAGCTTATTAACAAAATAATAAAATCCCAGCACGATGCCAGCCTTACAGGGCACTGCTACTTTTCCTTACGATAGTCACACAGAAGAGGTCTGTGAGGGGTGTGTGTTGGCATCTCACTGGGACAGAACCTCTCAGGAGAGGAGCCTGTGCCACTTCTGCTCGCTGGTGTGTAGATGGGGGTCTTATACCAAAAGTCCTTCAGCAGATGCACTGTAAGCGAACGGGTGAACACGGAGGAGACCGCCTTTCGCTCTCCAGTGCTGCCCGTCTTCCAGAGAGGGGCAGGTCCTTTGTGTTCCCTGGGGTGGGTAGGCTGTTTGTCATTCTGCTGGCATCTTCTTTTTTGTTATTTTTTTAAAGATTCTATTTATTATTTTGAGAAGTAGAAATGCAGAGGGAAGCAGAGACAGAGAGAAAGGTCCTCCATCTGCTGGTTAACCCCCAAGTGACTGCGATGGCCAGAGCCAGGAGCATAGCACAGAGCTAGATCAGTAGAGGAGCAGCCGGGACTCGATCCATGCCCATATGGGATACTGGCGCCAGAAGCGGATGATTAACCCCCTGCGCCACAGCACCAGCCCCTGGTGGCACCTTCTTAATCTCTCCTTGGAGCTTGGCAACTACTTGTTTCAGAACCCTGCCATGCAGTTTTCTTGCTGTAAGTCTTAACATTCTCAAATCAGGTAAAATTTACATGAGGCAGAATTTTCATTTGTTTAGAAATATTTTGAATGTATCTAAAGACCAGCAGTAAATCCGTTGAGAGCTGCAAAAATGGAGAAGGAAACTAGGATGTAGGACCTGCTGTAGAGAGCCAGATGGTGACTTACTATGGGACCCTTCATAATCTTCTGAACCTCGGACTTCACAGTGTACTGTATGTAAACTGCATATGAGCTAAGAAATATTAACCTGGTTGCATTTATAGTGTGGTAAACTATCCCCTAAGCTAGGGTTAGCTGCTTCTTTTTTTTTTTTTTTTTTGTTTCTTTTTAAGATTTGTTTATTGGAGAGGCAGAGTTATAGACAGAGGAAGAGAGAGAGGTCTTCCATCTGCTGGTTCACTCCCCACATGTCCACAGTGGCCAGAGCTGGACTGATCCGAAGCCAGGAGCAAGGGTCTTTTTTTTTTTTTTTTTTTTTTTTTTTGACAGGCAGAGTGGACAGTGAGAGAGAGAGACAGAGAGAAAGGTCTTCCTTTGCCGTTGGTTCACCCTCCAATGGCCGCCGTGGCCGGCGAGCTGCGGCCGGCGCACCGCGCTGATCCGATGGCAGGAGCCAGGAGCCAGGTGCTTTTCCTGGTCTCCCATGGGGTGCAGGGCCCAAGCACCTGGGCCATCCTCCACTGCACTCCCTGGCCACAGCAGAGGGCTGGCCTGGAAGAGGGGCAACCAGGACAGAATCTGGCGCCCCGACCGGGACTAGAACCTGGTGTGCCGGCGCCGCTAGGCGGAGGATTAGCCTAGTGAGCCGCGGCACCGGCCCAGGAGCAAGGGTCTTCTTCAGGTCTCTCATGTGTGGCAGGGGCCCTAGCACTTGGGCCTCTTCCACTGCTTTCCCAGGCCATAGCAGAGAGCTGGAACAGAAGAGGAGCAGCTGGGACACAAACCGGTGCTTGTATGGGTTGCTGGCGCCACAGGAGGACGTATAACCTGCTACACCACAGCTCGGCCCCAGCTTTTTTGTGTTTTACAGCAGTGACTTCATTCCCGCTTTTATATTATTTTACTTTTTTTTTTAAACTTAGTTTCATTTTTAATTTGAAAGCAGAGAGACAGAGAAATCTTCCATCTGCTGGCTCCTTTCTCAAATGCCAGCAACAGCCAGGGCAGGGCCAGGAGAAAGCCAAGAGCCCAGCTCTCAATCTAGGTTTCCCATGTGGCTGGCAGGGACCAAGTACTTGAGCCATCGTTTGCTGACTCCCAGGGTGCACCTGAGCAGAACGAGGGGTTGGAAGCAGAGCTGGGAGTTGACCAGTCCCTCCGATATGGGAAGCAGGCATGCCAAGCATCAACTTAACCAGTTTGCCCATTTTTTTTAAATGAACTTTTAATTTTGGAATAATTTTATAGACTTAAAGAAAAGGTTCAAAGATAGTGTAGGACATTCCTATGTACATTTCTCCCAATTTCCCTTCATGTTGATATCTTACATGAGCATAACATGTTTTTCAAAAACTACAAGATTGCTGTTAACTAAACACCAGATTTTATTTGGATCTTTGCCAGATTTTCCACTCATGTCCTTTTGCTGCTCCAGAATCCAGTCTGGGATACCACATTGAGCCACCCTGGATCATTTTGGTTTATTTGAGGATCACGCGAATGAAGAACTGTGTGTAACCTGCTCTCTGTTCTGCCTTTCCAACAGTGTTCTCTGATTTTAAGGACTTAATTGGCCAGATTTTAATGGAAGTACTAATGATGTCTACTCAGACAAGAGATGAAAACCCCTTTGCCAGTCTGACAGCCACATCCCAGCCCATTGCAGCAGCAGCTCGGTCACCAGACAGAAATCTCATGCTGAATGCTGGCTCCAACCCAGGAACAAGCCCCATGTTCTGCAGTGTGGGCTCCTTCGGGGCCAGCTCTTTGTCTAGGTCAGTGTGGTTCTCTCTGCACATCTGATTGGTTAGCTGTGAAATACATAAGAAAAGGGAGGGTTTACTCATGATGCGAATCTGTGTCACACAGATTACGGTATATAGTCTGTTTGGGGGTTGGGTTCAGTCGTTGGAAGTGATATCATTTCCAAATTGGGGGTTTTTTGGTGGTGTTTTGTTACTTTGCTATCCACGGTTAGGCCATTGGCAGTTAAATCTTAGAAGCAAATGGCTGTCTGCTATACTATTTACTGAGGAGTGGGCTTTATAAATGTAGCCCATGGCTGAGTCCATAATTAGGTTATGGTTATTTAGATGTTTGCAGATACAGGATGTAACTGTACACTTCTTTAAAATCCTGATGCTTTCCATTTTAGTTACTTATCTCAAATGTTTCTTTGATTTTCTCTTCTCTCCTCCCTCCCTCTACTAATGTAGCCTCTATGAAACTAGCCCTACCCCCATTGCCAGTTTCTGGAGCTCTGTGCCCACGCTAGGTCCACCCTCTGCCTCACCCTCCCGGGCAGCCAGCCAGGTGGCCACGCCTTCTGCCTCTGCTTCCCTCAGTCCTCACAGCACAGCTTCTGGAACTGCTCTAGGAAGCCAGCCCTCGTCTCCCCGCTATCGCCCCTACACTGTCACCCACCCGTGGGGGGGTGCCCCCTGTCCCACCCCCCGGTCCCCCAGCATCAGCGTCCCGTCAAGCTCCCCAAGCCTCCGTGCGCTCACCAGTAGCCCCCAGGCAGTACCCACTAGCAGTTCCAGACAGCGGCCCAGCAGCATGGGCCCGCCCTTCCCGCCCGCCTCGCCCAGTGCTACACGCAGACGTCCGTCCCCCCTGAGGACCTCTCCTAGGTATCGGTCAGCAAGCAGCTGTGTGTGCGTGTGCAGTGCAGGGAAATGAGGTTAACATGCTTTGGGAGAACCGCTGTGTGGCACTGACCTCAGGGGTATTTGGGGGTTGTTTTGGGGTTATTAACCCGTATCGCTGGCTGACTCCGCACTTCTGCAAGACCTTGACCGCGTCCGAAAGCGTGGGCTGCTCTCTTGTTGCACATCCCTCTCTTCCCTTCCTCCTCTGTGTACAAAAGGGAGAGAGAATGAACTTTGCTTTCTGCAGTCTGGTTCACCTGTCATTTGTTGCAGATGAATTTCAGAGACTGTGGTCAGGGCTGTCTTTGAGTTGGGGCTCACAGCACCTCTTTGAGTTTCTGTGCTGGTGCCATTGGTGGCTAAAACACCATCAGAGCGGGGAGCTGGGGGGCACATCTGGGCCCGGCGCCTTTTGCTTCTGCTGAGTGGCGCTGCTGCCTTGACACTTTGATTTTGGTTGCATGTCACTTCCGCCTCTTAGAAAGAAGCAGAGTTCCACGAAGGCGGCCCCTCCTCTCAGATGTCCCTCTGTGCTTCTGCATGGCAGTGGACGAAGCTTCTAGGGAAGGTTTCCGTAAGAAGACAGCGGCTGCGAAAGCTCTCCGCGTCTTGTTTCTCCTTTGCCCTGACTGCCTTTTTTGCTTTCTGTTGTGAGGTAGTGTGTACGACAATCCCTTCTCCTTCCTCTTCCTCGCACTTGCTGGGGACAGTAGTGATGAAGAAGATGAAGAGGATGATGATGATGATGGTGATGATGATGATGAAGGTGGTGGTGGTGGTGATGATGTTTCTTGTGTCCAGTTTGGGTCCAGGTATCAGGAGTGCCGGCTCACCCTGCATGTGCATAGTGCTTACGAACTAACTTGTGAGCCCTAATGAGGGTGCGCTTTGACTGCAGGCAGGAGAGGGTCAAGTGGGGGGCTAGGCAGTGTGTAAGTGTCAGGACCTTCTCGTGATAAAGGGGCACGTGGCACATTGTCATTGCTGTTGTCTGGTAAGTGTGGAAGACAACTGTATGTGTCATTGTTTACTACAAACCTGAAAGCAAACTAAATCATCACTCAGTTCCCCCGCCTCTAGGTCTGGAACTCTTCCTTTGTCCGTTGTGAGAGTGTTCCTGTGAGTCATCCACTGCTTTCCGAAATGCAGCTGCAAGGGTTACTGCTGTGGAGGATGGCAGAGGGCTGGGACCTGGGGTGTGTGTGAGCGGGAGAGGGGAGAGAGAAGCAGATCCCGTGAAGGACATTCCGTCTGAGGGAACAGGGATCCTGCTTTCGCTTCTAACCCTGAATTTCTCTGAGCACCTTCTTGACCTCAGTGAAGCCAGACTCCGTGTAAAGGAGCCTTCGGGAGGGCGGCAGAGGCTGACGCAGGGTTCCTGATGCTGCCACATGTGCACCCCCGAAGACAGAGTGAAAAGTGCTACTAGGGTTTTCTAGGTGACTTGGAGTAAGAAAGTGCACTAGCACTTTCTTTCTAATGCCCGACTCACTGCTGAACACTTTGGTTCCTAATTGGAAGTTTCCTCTGCACCAAGTCAAAGCTTCTGCCCGCACCGTTCAAATAACTGCCGAGGATCGAGAGACTGCAGGAGCCGTCAGGTGCACGGCGCTGAGCTGGGCGGAATTCAGGAGAAGGCTTGCAGGATAGAGGAGGGAGCCGTGCAGGGAGTCGCTGGACATTCCGTCACTGCTTCTCCAGGACGGATCCCAGAGGTGGGCGTGTCTCTTCACGCAGCGGGAGTTCTGCTAAGTCAGCAGGCCTCCTCCTGAGGAGCCCGTCTCCACCCCTGGCAAAGCTTGGTCTCTTCCACTACAGAGTTCACCCTTCTTCCCCCCTCCCTCCCTGGACATCTCCCCTCACCTCTGTGTGTTGTGTGCATACTGTCTCATCAGAGGGTCACTGACCCTGACCCCTGACCTCATCACATTAAACACGATGTGCCCCCTCCCTCTGCTGTGCGCTGCAGGTATTTGGCTCCATAGCACGCACCTAGTTGGTTTTTAACTGCCACTCCCCTCAGTGTAACGGCCACATCTACAAGGCCTCCGTCCGTTTGATTCAGTGCTGTGCCCCGGGGCCTCCGGTGGTGCTTGGCATGCATCTCTTGAATGAGTTTATGGAACTTGAACCTGCACAAGTCTGACTGCCTCACATTGCGAAAAGCAGGATTTCCAGGCTGCCGTTGAGAAGTTAGTAGAGGGGGGGAGCTGCAGCAGAGTCCCTTTGGGAAGCAGGTTGTCTGGGGTGTGAATGGGATTCAGTCTGCGCTCGTGGGACGGCGTTACCTCCCCATGAGTCGTTTCATCGTGTTTTCAGAGGATTGAGCTATGTTTCTTCTGTTGTTAAGACTTTTAAAAATGTATTTGGAAGGCAGAGTGACAGGAGAGAGAATCTTCCATGTAATGGTTCACTCTCCAGATGGCCACACTGAAGCCAGGTGGCAGGGACTTAATGCCATCTTCTGCTGTTTGCCACACACATCAGCAGGGAGCTGGGCGGAGGCAGCGTGGCTGGGACGGAACACAGACTGGAGCCAGTGTACAAGATGTGTGTGTCCCAAAGGGCAGCCTAACCTGCTGTGCCACTATGTGGACCCCCAAGCTGCTTTTTGATTAGGTGCATTACACGATTAAGTGGGACTGCTGATGGAGGCATCAAAAGGCAGTTCACATCCTCTCCAAGAGGGAGGTATAATTTTTTAGATCCTCTTAGGACTTCACTGTGATATGTTTCTAAGATTTCAGCATATTGCAGTTGTAAAAGCATCATGAATTTTTAAAAAGTTTTTGAGGAAAAATGAAGAGCTACTTTAAATATTTTAGAGGTTTATTGATAGTATAAATTTATACATATAAATTATGCATCACTCCTTCAGAATGGCCTTCAAAATTCAAATCCAACTCTTTCACTTTGAATCTAAAAAATCCCCATAAGTCAACTTTGACCATTGACACTTGGGCTGAGCTTTGGTGAGCCTGGCCACTCTCCATGCTATGGTTCTGAGTTCCTTTGGCATGTTTAGGGTGGGTCCTATTATTTGGGGCTTATTCTACATTCTCATTTTTTTAAAAAATTCCTATTTGGTTTTATTTATTTATTTTTAAAGATTTATTTATTTATTTGAAAGAGTGAGAAGGAGAAAGGGAGGGGGAGAGGTCTTCCATTCACTGCTTCACTCCCCAATTGGGCGCAACGGCTGGAGCTGCACGGATGCGAAGCCAGGAGCCAGGAGCTTCTTCCAGGTCTCCCATGCAGGTGCAGGGACCCAAGGACTTGAGCCATCTTCCACTGCTTTCCCAGGACATAGCAGAGAGCTGGAAGTGGAGAAGCCGGGACTCGAACCAACACCCATATGGGATGCCGGCACTGCGGGTGGTGGCTTTACCTGTATGCCACAGTGCCAGCCCCTCCTATTTAGTTTTATTTCATCCACCTCCCACTCCTGCTTCTTTATCTTGAAAGTCATCTGGCTGTTTGGTACGTTACCGATTATCACTAAAATACACCAAACTCTTTTACCTTTGAAAATTCTCTATTTTTTTAATAATTAATTAAGAGCCAGAGATGCAGTCAGACAGAGAGGACGCACCCACTGGCCGACTCCCCAAATGCCTGTAATGACTCTGGGCTGAGGACCAAAGCCAGGAGGCAGAGACTCAATCCAGGTCTCCCTGTGAATGGCAAGAACCCAATTATTGGAGCCATCACTGCTGTAGCCTTACACAGTCTGTGTTAGCAGACAGCTGGAGTCAGGAGCGAAGGTCAGGAATTGAACCCAGACTCTCCACTATGGGATGTGGGCACCTTAACATCTGCCATCTAATATATTCTGAGTGCCTTCTGATGTATTGCCTGGCATAAGATAAAGTCTTCTACAAACATTGTTGCTTTTCATGTCTTAGTGAAATACTTTGAAAAATATTTCAAGTGACAGTGAGGGGTTTGAATTTAAGGAAAATTAAAAGGAACATGGGGCCAGCATTGTGCTGCAGTGGGTTGAGCCACTGTCTGCATGCCAGCATCCCATGTGAGTGTCTGTTCTAGTCCTTGCTACTCTAATTCTCATCCAGCTTCTTGCTAATGTGCCCAGGAAAGCAATGGAAGATGGCCTAGGTTTGTGGGCCCCTGCCATCCACCCATTCACGTGGGAAACCTGGATGGAGTTCTGGCTTCTGGCTTCGGCCTGGCCAAGCACAGGGCCATTAGGCCATTTGGGGATAAAAGATTTCTCTCTCTCTCTCGTCTCCCTCTTTTTCTGTAACTCTGCCTTTCAGAGTCATTTATATTAGAGCCACAGACAAAGTGAGGGAGAGACAAAAAGAAAGGTCTTAAATCTGCTGGTTCACTCCCCAAATGGCCTCAGTGGTTGGAGCTGAGCCGGTCTGAAGCCAGGCACTTCCCCTGGGTCTCCCAGGCGGGTGCAGGGGCCCAAGTATTTGGTCCATCTTCCACTACTTTCCCAGGCCATATCAGAGAGCTGGATCAGAAAGAGGAGCAGCTGGGACTAGAACTGGCATCCATATGGTCTGCCGGCGCCATAGGCAGAGGTTTAACCTCCTATGCCATAGCACTGGCCCTTCAAATAAATAAATCTTTATTTATTTTAATTTTTAAAAAATATTTATTTATTTGAAAGTCAGAGTTACACAGAGAGAGGAGAGGCAGAGAGAGAGAGGTCTTCCATCTGCTGGTAAACTCCCCAATTGGCCACGACGGCCGGAACTGCGCCAATCTGAAGCCAGGAGCTTCTTCTGGGTCCCCCATGCGGGTGCGGGGGCCCCAGGACTTGCGCCATCTTCTACTTCTTTCCCAGGCCGTAGCAGAGAGCTGGATCAGAAATGGAGCAGCCAGGTCTTGAACCGGCGCCCATATGGGATGCCGGCGCTTCAGGCCAGGACGTTAACCCGCTGCACCATAGCACCGACCCTAATAAATAAATCTTTAATAAAAAAAGAAATCATACTTCAAATTTGGAATTAGAAAAGTTAAAAGGAACGTCTTGCTGAGAATGGACTCAGAGGAATGGCAGTCGCGGGAGGCAGCGCCCTCTAAGGAGTTTCTCCGCTGCCTGTGGACCCACATCCAGCTGTCTCCTTGCAGCTGTCAGGGCCGCTCGCTGTCAAACACAAGATACTTTTCATTTCAGACATCTAAAAGTGCAAGGAATATTGGGCCTATTATCCAGGAAACGTAGAGTTTAAAATTTTCATTCTAAACAAGCAGATGATATATTTTCATTGTTATCTACGAGAACTGCTCAGAGGAAAGTTAGCCTCAGCGATGCACAGATAGAAGCCTGCATGATCAGAGTTCACGTTTGGGAAGTGCCGTGAATATAGTCAGGAGACAGTAACGTCAGGGGAAGAGTCAGCTTGAAACACAGCGCGCTGCAGGTAGACTGTCTCTGTTTCCCTCTCTTATTTGTCGTTTTGTTATCCATGTGTTGCTTTTTCTGAGCTTTCTGTTGTCAGACCAACTAGCAGATACCAGATCCTACCATTAATTAGCACAGTGTACCAAAAACTATCAGACATGAGCATTTTGTTTTTGTAGGATTTCCTTCCCATGTTGGTGAGCTGCTTTGTGGTTGGCTCAGTTAACCTGCCCAGGTGGCTGGGAGTCGGCGGCCTTACTCCTGTGAGTGCCCCACAGCCTCGCCTGCTCCGTCCCCTCCTTGCAGACCCAGATTTTAGGTCATAGGAGCTGAAACTTACGAGGCTCTGGGCTGAAAGCCTAGAATTTAAAGTTTGTGCTGTTTTCACCTTCTTTACTGAAATGCCTTCATATCACAATTTCACTTCAAGGTTAATTGTATTTTTCCTGAAATTCTAAGGTCAGTTATGTATGTATTCCAGAATGAGTTACGTGGATCTGTCTGTGTGTATAACATGCCGATCTCTCAATTCTTCTCAGTTCTTTTAGTTTAGTTTATTATTTTTTTGTTAACTTCTCAAGCAATGTGGTTTTTCTAAGGTTTATTTAATTGAAAGGCAGAGTTCCAGAGAGAGGGAGAGAAAGAGAGAGAGGTGTTCTATCTGATGGGTCACTTCCCAAATGGCTGCAATGGTCAAGCAGAAACCAGGAGCCAGGAGCTCCATCCAGGTCTCCCACCATTACTTGGGCCGGCTTCCATTGCTTTCCGAGGCACATTGGCAGGAAGCTAGATTGGAAATGGGACAGCTGGAACGCAAACTGGTGCTCATGTGGGATGCTGGCACCACAAGCAGCAGCCACAGCGCAGGCCCTTGGTCCTGTATTGTCTGCCCCAGGTGGAAGCCAGCAGGTGCTTCAAGCTGCTCGTGTTCTTCCCCCCTTCTAGCATCTTCACTTGGGATTTTTTCAAACTGAGATTACGTTTTCACTTCCTCTTCATTTTAAACTCTCAGCTGCTTTCTGTGTCGTGATTAATTTCTTCATATCTTTTGTGTATACCAGTTAAGTCTGCAAATTAAACACCAGATCTGGTATATGACCTGTCAGTGATTGAGTTTAAATTTCCTCAAACGTAACCCTTGAGAATATCTTTGGGTTCTGTCTCAGAGAATAGTTATGACTAATAACAGCAGTGTTTCCTGTTGTCACCTGCTCATATTCCCCAGAGTGCTTGCTCAGGATTTCATGGAAGCCTCCCCACAGGTGAGGCACAGGCTGTGGGCTTGGGTAACAAGCAGTGAAGCCGGGACTAGAGCCGGGTCTGGTTTTTCCTGTTACAGGGGCATTGTTTTAGCCAGAGTGCTTTGCTTTTTCACAAAGCAAAGAAACAGTTTTGGAAATGTTTCTGTGGATAGCATTAACTGGATGTTCTTCTTAAACTCTAATCCTTTTGCCAAATGCTAGAAGGTGGCTTTTGAAATCTCCTAGAAGCCACGAGGATGAGGGATAATTTGTGAGTCGCTTATAAACTTCTCTCCTAAAGAGTTGACTTACAGCAGTATCATAATATGGGTTTAACCTGCGGGGCTGCCTGAGTGACACTGTCAGTGTGGTGTACACACAAGGCACATCCTGTCAGCGGCTTCATGCGTGGTAGCCGTTCTTAGTCCTGCATTTATAAGGTGTCGTCCCTACTGAGATCAGACTCCCTTCTTAGGTCTATAACACGTCTGGCAGAAGTGACTGTTCTGGGGCGTGGAACAGGCGGACGAGCAGTCGGCTCCAGTGCGGGCTGCATGAGCGTTTGTGCTGTGTCGTGGGTGCAGGGGTCCTAACAGGCTTTCTGCTGCAAATGCAATGACAAAGGGGCCTCAGCGAGAGCTGGCGAGTCAGCTGGTTTTTTCCTTCTTCTCCAAAGTTTGGGAGCCTCTGGTGGAGCAAGCAGTTGGGATTCCTACAGTGACCATTTTACCATTGAAACCTGCAAAGAGACCGATATGCTGAACTACCTCATTGAGTGTTTTGACCGAGTTGGAATAGAGGAAAAAAAAGCACCAAAGGTAATACGAAGTCAATCCCCCCCCCCCCAGACCCAGACTATTTGTTTGGTAAATGGTCTTCTCTCCACCCCTGAAGAACATGGATTTGTGTTGTCTGAGCAACTACTCTGTGCCCCATATTATCCTAGGAACTTGGGGTGTCTTAATGAACAAGAAAGATCCCTGCCCCCTTGGAACTCACACCCCAGTAGAGCGGAGAGGGGTGAGGGGTGAGGTCAAAAAGTGAACCCAGGTGGCCTGGCCTCAGAGTCCTTTCTCTTCACCATACCTGCAGTTGGGTGCCAACCACGATTTTGATGGCCCCAATAACTTTTGATTGTCATAACCCTTACCATCACGTTACAGAGTGACTGTCGACTGCGAGGAGCTATGGGGAGTCTCCCTTAGCTTGAATTCTCACAGTGTTTAATTAGTCCAGTTGGAACCCAATACAAGACAGGTGCTGTTTGTTCCATTATATAGATAAGCAAATAAACGTGAGAGCGATGTTGTAATTGTCCAGAATCACGTAACAAGTTCCAAGGCTGAACTGAAACTCGGGAAGCTGCATTCATATATCATAATATCATAACCTGGGTTTAACCTGCGGGGCTGCCTGAGTGACACTGCGTGCTGTCTGACTTCAGTGTTTTTTATCTCCTGCACTTCCTGGTCACAGTTTCACAGTAGGAAGGAGTCCAGTTGTCCAACAGCCTTTGGTTTGCTGTTTGTGAAAGGCCTCTTTGGAGTGGACACCCTTAGCAGGAGCAGACGCACACACGTCTCCGGGGCTTCCGCGCTCCTCCCAGACTGCGGTTTCAGCAGCAGGGGCCCCGCCCTGGGAGGAATAAAGGAAGAGCAGAGCGTGCCGTTTGTGCGCTTGACCTTTTCTGGCTCCTCCCAGTTTGCAGTCGAGAGATGATTTGTGTGCTGTGTCCCTGACCGCCCCTCTCCTTTGCAGATGTGCAGCCAGCCCGCGGTCAGCCAGCTCCTGAGCAACGTCCGCTCACAGTGCATCTCCCACACTGCGCTGGTCCTGCAGGGCTCCCTCACGCAGCCCAGGTATGGGGAACTGTTCGGTGCACGCAGCTTTGCAGGGAGCAGACTCTGTCCATCCGTGGATATCAGGTGGTCCAGCCACTTTGCGCCACCGGGGATAAATCCCTTCCTTGCTTGTAAAGTGGAGGGGTGTGTTAGTTAAGCGCTGAGGTTCCTTTCTTCTAAAATACTGTGAAAATGAAACTCTACCTCAGCTTCTAAAGTAGTACAAAGCAATTTTTAAACATAAATTCAGGTGTATTTTAAGGGTGCTGTATGCTTTTTGAAACGGACTATTGATGAACTATGTGGGTGTCAGCACTGTGGCATAGCAGGTAAAACTGCCACCTGAAGTGCTGGCATCTAGTATGGGCACTGGTCAAGTCCCAGCTGCTCCACCTCGAATCCAGCTCCCTTCTATGGCCTGGGGTAGCAGTAGAGGATGGTCCAAATCCGTGGGCCCCTTCACCCACATAGGAGACCTGGAAGAAGCTCCTGGTTCTGGCTTCAGATCAGCGCAGCTCTGGCCATTGTGGCCATTTAGGGAATGAACCAGTGGATGGAACCTTTCTCTTTCTCTCAATCTCTCTCTCTCCACTTCTCTCTCTGCCTTTCAAATAAGTAGATCTTTTTTTTTTTTAAAGATTTATTTATTTATTTGAATGTCAGAGTTACACAGAGAGGAGAAGCGGGGGGTGGGGGAGGCTACCATTTGATGGTTCACCCTCCATTTGGCCGCAGCGGCAAAGCTGTGCCCAACTGAAGCCAGGAGCCTCTTTGGGTCTCCCACACAGGTATAGGAGCCCAAGGACTTCAGCCATCTTCTACTGCTTTCCCAAGCCATAGCAGAGAGCTGGATCAGAAGTGAAGCAGCTGGGTCTCGAACCAGTATTCATATGGGATGCAGGTGCTTCAGGCCAGGGCATTAACCCGCTGTGCCACAGCACCGGCCCCTCAAATAAATAGTTCTTTTGAAAAATAAAAGAAATATATGGACATCATTGCTGAAAATTAGCAATTACTTTAAGTGCAGCTGCTTGAAGGGCATGGAGGTCCTTGAGGGAACACTGGTTCCTCACTTTCCACAGGTGGCACAATTTCTGTTACTCAGTACTGGTTTTTGTTGTTGTTGTTGTTGTTGTTGTTGTTGTTTTTTGACAGGCAGAGTGAACAGTGAGAGAGAGAGAGACAGAGAGAAAGGTCTTCCTTTGCCGTTGGTTCACCCTCCAATGGCCGCCGCGGCCGGCCCGCTGCGGCTGGCGCACCGCACTGATCCGATGGCAGGAGCCAGGAGCCAGGTGCTTCTCCTGGTCTCCCATGGGGTGCAGGGCCCAAGCACTTGGGCCATCCTCCACTGCACTCCCTGGCCACAGCAGAGGGCTGGCCTGGAAGAGGGGCAACCGGGACTAGAACCCGGTGTGCCAGCGCCGCTAGGCGGAGGATTAGCCTAGTGAGCCGCGGCGCCGGCCCTGTTACTCAGTACTAAAGAATGGTGGTGGAATGCGGAATTTTGGAATCACCCAAAGTGATATACTTGTTTATATTTGTTTCTGAGAGTCCCATAAAGCTGTGCAAAAATAGCTAAAGGAAAGATGACATGGCCACATTTCTTCATTCTGGTTGGTCTTAGATTACTTTCTATACCATAACTGTATGTTTCAGAACTTTTATAGAGATGAGAAAAATTATATACATGTACTAAAGCTTTTAAAGTGTTTCAGACTAGGGACAGACATGGCACAGCTGCGTGTGATGTCGGCATCCCATGTGGGTGCTGGCTCAAGTCTTGGTTTGCTCTACTTCCAGAGAGCTCCCTGCTAATGTGCCTGGGAGGCAGCAGAGGACGGCCCAGGTGCACCCACGTGGGAGACCCAAATGGAGCTCCAGGCTCCTGGCTCCAGCCTGACTCAGCCGTGGCAGTTGCAGCCATTTGGGGAGTGAACCAGCAGATGGAAGACCACTCTCTCTCTCTCCCTTTCTCTCTGCCACTTTGTCTTTCAAAGAAATAAGCCTTTTTTTGTTTTGTTTTGTTTTGTTTGAGAGGTAGAGTTATAGACAGAAAGGTCTTCCATCCACTGGTTCACTTCTCACATGGATGCAGTGCCTGGAACTGAGCCACTCGGAAGCCAGGAGCCAGGAGCTTATTCAGGTCTCCCATGTAGGTGCAGGGGCCCGAGGGTTTGGGCCATCCTCCACTGCCCTCCCAGGCCACAGCAGAGAGCTGGACTGAAAGAGGAGCAACCGGGACTAGAACCTGGCGCCCATATGGGATGCCAGAGCCGTAGGCAGAGGATTAACCAAGTGAGCCATGGTGCTGGCCCCCAAAATTAGAAGTTTTTTTTTTGTTTGTTTGTTTGTTTTTTTTTGACAGGTAGAGTTATAGACAGGGAGAGACAGAGAGAAAGCTCTTCCTTCCGTTGGTTCACTCCCCTAATGGCCTCTACGGCTGGCGCTGTGCCAGTCTGAAACCAGGAGCCGGGTACTTCCTCCTGGTCTCCCATGTGGGTGCAGGGACCCAAGCACTTGGGCCATCCTCCACTGCCCTACCGGGCCACAGCAGAGAGCTGAACTAGACGAGGAGCGACAGGGACTAGTACCTGGGTGCCCCAGCCAGGACTAGAACCCGGCGTGCTGGCACTGCAGGCAGAGGATTAGCCAAGTGAGCCATGGTGCTGGCCAAAATTAAAAGTTTTAAAAAGACCACAGCTAATCTTTTTTCCCTGATTTGGATGAGGCATAAACTGATGAAGGAAATATGGAATACTTCATTTTTAATGGGCTCTGTATAGAAAAAACTTCCTGTACATATTTTCATTTAAAGGCCAAGAAATGATCACTGATGCCAAGAAAGGTTGACTCTTGCTTGGAACCATTGTGCAGATGCCGGGGAGGCTTCAGGTTGGCTTTGGGCTGGGCAGTGTTGCTGACGTGACGTCCCTGTGCTTCCGTCCTTACACGGCCCCGGCCTCTGGGGGTCCGCAGGTCCCTGCAGCAGCCGTCCTTCCTAGTGCCGTACATGCTGTGTAGGAATCTCCCCTACGGCTTCATTCAAGAGCTGGTGAGAACCACGCACCAGGATGAAGAAGTGTTCAAGCAGGTAGGTCGAGGGTCTGCCCAGCTTCTGAACACGCCGTAGTGGGAACGTGGGTGTGTGGTGTGCCGGAAGACCAAGCTCAGGTGCCGTCTTTACGGAAATCAGAGTGACAGCTGCATTGTTCAAACATGTGCCCGTCTCAGCCGCTCCCTCAAGCATCCGGTCTGTGGACAAGCTCTGTAGATGTGCTTTGGAGAATAAGAGAAAGCACGGGAGGCCCTGTGCCTGATTCCATGGCGCTTCTAACCCAGGAACACAACCAGCATAAGGCTTCATGAGAGATGTGAGAAGATTAATTAGCGACCAAAGCAGTGCAACAGCGGTGTGCACGGAGCTGGGCTCACTGTCCTCTGACCAGTAAACCGGGAAGGGCAGCTGGCTCTTCCCCACATACCTGCTCAGAAAGGTTTCTTTCAAGGCGGGACTTTGCCCTGAAAATCTTGTTGGCTCTTTTGTGGCCCTGTGTTGTAACTGAAGCCCTGTTGCCTCGGGTTTCCCTTTGTGAGCACAGGACTTACAAAATACTCCTCACGTTTGCTGTACCATCATTTCTTTGCCTATGACTAGAAGCAAGGATAGTAGCTCTAATTGGTGCGATTCCTTTTGTTTATTTTATACCTCATAGCATTCATAACTAATAAATGTGAAGACCTTTGTTTCCTTGGGAATTATATTTTTAGCAGTCTCTAAAATATTTGTAGCAGAGGAATCCAGGATTCCAGAATAGAAATTCCAGTCAGTGTCATGTGATCTGTCTGGTATTCATTACCTACTTAGAGTAAATGATGATCTGGTTGACTTACAGGAATATCAAAGGCAGCCTAAGTGAGTCACCATTTTTTGTTTGTTTGTTTTAAAGATTTACTCAGAAGGCAGAGATCTTTCATCCACTGGTTCATCCCCGAAATGACCAAAACAGCCAGGGTTGGGCCAGGCTTAAGCCAAGAGCCTTGAACTCCCTTCTGGGTCTCCCGTGTGGGTGGTAGGGGCCCGAGCATTTGGGCCATCTTTAGCTGCTTTTCCGGGCGCATCAGTAGGGAGCTGGATCAGAAGCATGGCAGCCGGGGCTGAAACTGGCGCTCAGTGGGATGCTGTGATGCAGGCACTGGCACAATGCAGCCCCTTACTTACTCTTTCTAAAGAAGAAAGGTCGGGCCAGCTCTGTGGTACAGCAGGTTAAAACTCCACCTGTGACAACAGCATCCTGTATGAGCATCGATTTAAAGCCCAGCTGCCACACATCTGATCCAGCTCCCTGCTAATGCACCTGGGAAAGCATTGGAAGATGACCCAAGTGCTTGGACCCCTGCCATTCCTGGAAGACCCTGATAGACTTCCAGGTCCTGACTTTGGCCTGACCCAACCTTGGCCATTTGAGGAGTGAGCCAGTACATGGAATCTCTCTGCCATCCCCCACTCCCCTTTCTGACTTGCAAATGAATAAATAAATCTTTTTTTTTTAAACTAAATGAATTCTGAAAAATGAATGTCTTTGGAGTTTTAAGTGAAGCACTGTGCAATAGTGGGCCTTAATTAGAATACTTTCCCTTTTCAAAAAGACATTATGTGAGGAACCCAGAGTGGTTTTTTTTTATTTTTATTTTTTTATTTTTATTTATTTATTTTTTTTTTGACAGGCAGAGTGGACAGTGAGAGAGAGAGACAGAGAGAAAGGTCTTCCTTTTGCCGTTGGTTCACCCTCCAATGGCCGCCGCGGCTGGCGCGCTGCGGCCGGCGCACCGCGCTGATCCGATGGCAGGAGCCAGGAGCCAGGTGCTTTTCCTGGTCTCCCATGGGGTGCAGGGCCCAAGCACCTGGGCCATCCTCCACTGCACTCCCGGGCCACAGCAGAGAGCTGGCCTGGAAGAGGGGCAGCCGGGACAGAATCCGGCGCCCCAACCGGGACTAGAACCCGGTGTGCCGGCGCCGCTAGGCGGAGGATTAGCCTAGTGAGCCGCGGCGCCGGCCACCAGAGTGGTTTTAACAGTAGAAAATCCGTGTTATCATAACCAATATGAGTTAGGAAGTCACCCCTGCGGTTAACATGAATCGAGGTGAAACTTGCATAGTATCAGACTCACCACGTTCAAGAGTACAGCACAGCGGCCTGTAGCAGGTGCTTGTGCCTGCCCCACCACAGACCCCGTTGTTTTAGGCACAGAATTCCGACTTCTCACCGCTCAGTCTTGAATGCCCGTTGTTTCCTCTTTTTGCTATCTTGTGTTTTATCCACAGAGGAACGATGAATGTGATGGAGCTGCTGAATTGAAAACTAGTGTTTTATCTTTCTGTCTTTACAGGGTGGCAAAGGAAATTACTAAGTCTTTTTTGAAATTTGTGCCTTTAAGATTTGTGAAGTTCCTAGATAAGTAGCAGCTAGCATTTAGGTTTAAAACTGAATACTTTCGGCATTATTATTGGTGCTGGGAGGTATTTATTTGAAAATAAATGAATTATTTAAAGTATGTTGGTCACAGAAATAATACGTCTGACTCCTTGAAAAATATTGTATTTAGTAATATTTTGTATGTTTATTATAATTTTTTTTAATTTTACTAATGAATATAAATTTCCAAAGTACAGTTTATGGATTACAATGACTCCCACCCGCAACCCTCCCCTTTCCCACTCCCTCTCCCCTTCCATTCACATCAAGATTCATTTTGTTTATTATAAATTAAACCTTATTTGCACAAGAGGATAACCTGAAAGATTGAAGATGTCTTATTTATAACATTCTTGAAGATAATGTTTGGAGGTTTTCCTAGATGACCAATTATGAAATTTAATTTGGGGATTCTGGAACTTGTGTTTGTCTTTTCTGCTTGATTACAGCCGCGGCATTCCCTACCGCACACCAGAATATTACTTCTCCAGTTTGAGTGAGCTTATGAAAGCACACTGCCTCTACCCCGAGTAGTTGAGTCACAAGCAAGCATGGTCTGCCCCAGAGCCGTGCTGGCGACTCAGAATGCTCCTGGACACCATGTCATCCAGGGCGCCCTTTTTGGTCCTGTGCTCTTTAAACAGGAAGCTGTCGGTGTGATGGGATGAAGGGAGTAGGAAAGGGAATTTTCCAGGTTTCCTGTGACTCTGGTCTGCTCCCTTTGCAGCGCGCTGGCATTCAGATGGCCGCGTCTTCTACTTAGCGTGATTAGTCTTGAATCCCAAGCAACTCCCCTAAATACGCTGACGAGTGATTGCATTGGGAAATCGGAGTGGGAGCTGTGCTGAGCAGCTCTTGCAGTGTTACCTGGTATTAATGGTCAACTTGCACAAGTAAATTTGAGCGCCCTAAAGCTCTAGTATCCAACTAATGACTTGTTGACTGCACACATTATGTGTGGAGGTACGGTGTTCCAACTAAATCCTTCTTTTTCAACCTCAGCAATTTCCTGTTGTGTTTTTTGTTCGAAATTAAACTTAATAGCGATAATGTCCATTATTTGTCCTTATTTTTGTCAAAATGAACAGAGACAGACTTTTTAAAAGTATTGATAGAGATGAGAAAGTGTTGGGGTATTTAATGTAGCTTCTTTCCTGGTAATCAAGAGTGTGTTAGTTGCAGGGATGTGCAGGGTTGAGGTGACTAGAGCCAAGACCCCGGTGCATCCTTCAGCCGCTCCACATACGTGCATTTCTGCCGACTCTCTGGAAGGAGTGCCAGAGCACCAGGATTCACCTGTGTGTCCTCACATCTGGGAAGCGGCTGCATTACCTTATGGGTAGAATTCTGTGAAAGGACAGGGCAAAACCACAGTTGAATTCTAGTGCAAGAGAGCTGTTCCTAGGGAGAGGGCAAAAGTGTCTGGACATTCAGCTGTAGCGCCTTCATTAACAATGATTCCCACTCTTGAATTTTTCTTAAACTTAACTTTCTGATTTTTTTTTTTCTTATAGATCTTTATCCCCATTTTGCAAGGCCTGGCTCTTGCTGCCAAAGAGTGCTCCCTCGATAACGACTACTTTAAATACCCCCTCATGGTAAATCTTTGTTCTTTTTCTATAACCTATTCAGTAAATGTTTTTCTTTCAGATTATTTTAACATACGCTTTTCTTTCAGGTCCGTGATCAACCTCATATTCAAATTAAACATGAAATCGCTGTGTTGGCCGTGCAGGGAGGGTGTGCGGTCTGGTCTCAGAGAAAGCAGCGTTAGCACAGCTAGTTCACGTCCCCGGCACTCCACATCATTGAAACGGGCTTCACCGCGGTGCGGCTCTGGGAAGATGATCAGTGGAGTTCCTCCACCGCTCCCAACAGTGAGCGGACTGTTATGTGGGATGGAATTGTGTTATTAAAAAATATTAGAAATGCAACTATAAGCTAAAGTTTTACTGAGAAAAATAATGTACTTTCATTGTACACAGAATCTCAGAGTCACTCCCTGTTTCCCAAGGAAAGCCTGCAGCCTTGGGAATCTGCTTAGCTCCGTGAGGCATGTAGAGCAAGTATCAGTGTAGACGGGACCTTGGGCCAGCTTCTCGGGGTGGGGCTTGACTGCTGGGAAAACCCTGGTGTGGAATGATGAGGCTCTTTTCTGTTCTTTTGAAATTTGAGGAAAAAAAAATTTTTTTTTTTTTTTTTTTTTTGATAGAGTGGACAGTGAGAGAGAGAGACAGAGAGAGAAAGGTCTTCCTTTGCCGTTGGTTCACCCTCCAATGGCCGCCGCTGCAGCCGGCGCACCGCGCTGATCCGATGGCAGGAGCCAGGAGCCAGGTGCTTTTCCTGGTCTCCCATGGGGTGCAGGGCCCAAGCACCTGGGCCATCCTCCACTGCACTCCCTGGCCACAGCAGAGAGCTGGCCTGGAAGAGGGGCAACCGGGACAGAATCCGGCGCCCCAACCGGGACTAGAACCCGGTGTGCCGGCGCCGCAAGGTGGAGGATTAGCCTATTGAGCCACGGCGCCGGCTGGAAAAAAATATTTTGACTTATTATAGAATATTTTTCATTCAAGACGTGTAAGGGAAAAAACAAATACCAAAACATAAAATTAGTTTACTCCTTACATAAACAGAATCTTGTGTAGATTGAAGCTGTGGTTCAATTTTTATTACCATAAATTTTCACTCTATTCCTCTTATTCATTCTGGTGATTTGATTCTGTTGTACCATAAATTCATTACTTCCTGAAGACCTGTTCCAGGCCAGCACTGGGAGCACAGGAGCTAGCGAGGCATGGTCACTCTCCTCTACTGAGAAATCAAAGCACAGCGAAACAGTGGCGTGATTCCACTTTTTTTTTTTTTTTTTTTTTTTTTTTTTTTTGACAGGCAGAGTGGACAGTGAGAGAGAGAGACAGAGAGAAAGGTCTTCCTTTGCTGTTGGTTCACCCTCCAATGGCCGCCGCGGCTGGCGCACCGCACTGATCCGAAGGCAGGTGCCAGGTGCTTCTCCTGGTCTCCCATGGGGTGCAGGGCCCAAGGACTTGGGCTATCCTCCACTGCACTCCCGGGCCACAGCAGAGAGCTGGCCTGGAAGAGGGGCAACCGGGACAGAATCCGGTGCCCCAACCGGGACTAGAACCCGGTGTGCCGGTGCCGCAAGGTGGAGGATTAGCCTAGTGAGCTGCGGCGCCGGTCCCTAATAAGTTCTGTTAATCCGTACACATTGTTCTGTCTGTGGCAGACAGAAAAGCAAGTAGAATAATCTGATTGAGTTCAGTGGTGGAATATTTTAGTGAGCCCAAATTATTGCGTCAGTATTCCTTATGGGATTGTTGAATTTTCAGTTGTGGTTTGAAATAGCTTACATTTCGGTGAGGAGCTGTTAGTGTCAGCTGGCAGCAAGATGTCCTTGGTCAGAGGACACATGCTTGCCATTGTGGTAGCTGAATCACTTTATTTTGAACCATTGCTGATGCTTGTGTAATGAAAATTGGGCAGTGAGCGCGGATGCAGTAATGACAGGCAGGAAGAGGAAGGCTGTTGGGCTGAAGTCAGAAATAACTGTGATGATTCTGTAGGTCAGTGGTGCCCACTGTGCTGGAGCCAGCTGGGGACCTTGGAGGAGTGCTGATGCCGCACTCTCAGCCTTAGATGCTGTGCTGCCTCCTCGGGGTGTGGCGTGGCTGTGGGGTTGTCCAGGGCTTCCCTGGAACCCGCCCGTGCAGCACAGTTCGGGCGCTCCTGGCTAGACAGGCAGCTTCTCCAGACGAGCCAGAGCCTAAATGCATCATCCAGAAGCTTCCTTCCGGCAGCTGCTTTAGCAACTGCAGTAGCTGTGTCTAACTCGCAGGGAAACTAAATCCACCATCCAGCAAATAGTGTTTGATAGACTTACCGTAGCCCTGTCCCAGCTGTGTCGGTGTCCCTAAAAACTGTCCTCCACGTTTCTCTAAGGTGAGAGTGACTAGAGCACCCGAGGAAGGGGGAGTTCTAGAATGACCAAGTAACCTGGCCTGCTCTGAGTGAGATCGCTTCTTAAGTTAGAATTATTGATAGGTTTATCACTGGCAAGCCTCGCCGTGTTAAGTTTATGAAGCAAGTCTTTTTACCATGGAAAGATAGAAGGTGAAAATGTCTTCTGTGTGTGTGTGTATAAATATATTTCTGTGTGGACATGCACAAAAGCATGTCTGGAAAGCTGTTAATGAAAATATCAATAGCCCTGATGTGTGAGGGTCACGGGTGACTTTGGTCCCATTGTATGTGTCTTGTTTTATTTGAAGTTTTCGGTGATGAGCGTGTACTAGTTTATGAATCAGGAGAAGTAGTGAAGCTGCTGCCATCTCCCCCTTTGGTAACAGCCGCTCCCTGATGTACACGTGGCTGTCAAGTCAAGGTGACAGACACTGAAATACTCTCTTTGATCTTTCTTCCAGGCATTAGGTGAACTCTGTGAAACCAAGTTTGGGAAGACGCACCCTGTGTGCAATTTGGTAAGTGCCTCTGGGGCGGACTTGCATGCTGTCCTGACTGTGTCATGACTCAGAGGCCTCGGCTTTTCTCCGAGGACGTAGCATTTCCTGCAAGGAAGTTGTTTGTTTTCTCCCGCGGCTCGGGGGGCTGAGTGTCGGGCACCCAGAGTGAGCCCTGTGGGGATAGCTGCTGCTGGTGCTTCAGGGACTCCCGAGTGGTTCGTTGGGACTCCACCAGAGTCTCTTGAAACATAAAAATCCCAAGACTGTCCTTTGTCTCACCTGCTTGAGGTGAGACAATGCCCACAGGGCCCTACCGTGTGTGCACCGTGTTTGAGGATGTGACGCGTCAGCCATCGTTTTGCTGCCCGAGAACCTCGGAGCAGGCAGCTGCTGGCGAGCGCTGTGTGAGACGTCGTTTGCCTCACTGCCTTCGTAGCGGCCTTAGCGGCCTCTTCCACTTCTCTCCCAGGTTGCCTCCTTGCCATTGTGGTTGCCGAAACCCTTAAGCCCAGGCTCTGGGCGGGAGCTGCAGAGACTCTCTTACCTGGGGGCCTTCTTCAGCTTCTCTGTCTTCGCCGAGGACGATGTAAGTACGGGGCCGACTGTGCTTTGCTGCACTGTGTTCGAGCTCCATCCCTAAGGTTCCTTACGTTGATTGAGTTGTTTTCCTTCTCTTTCCAGGTTAAAGTGGTTGAAAAGTATTTCTCAGGGCCTGCCATTACCCTGGAAAACACTCGTGTTGTTAGCCAATCACTACAGCATTACTTGGAGTTGGGAAGGGTAGGTAATTTTTTTTAAAGATTTTATTTATTTATTTGAGAGGTAGAGTTACAGACAGAGAGGGAGAAACAAAGAGAGGTCTTCCATCTTCTGGTTCACTCCCCAAATGGCTACAACAGCCAGAGCTGGACTTACCCGAAGCCAGGAGCTTCTTCTGGGTCTCCTCTACGTGTTCAGGGGCCCAAGGACTTGGTTCATCTTCTGCTTTCCCAGGCTGTTGGCAGATCAGAAGAGGAGTAAACAGGGCATGAACCGGCGCCCCTGTGGGATGCTGGTGCCATAGGTGGAGGCAGAGCCTTACTGTGCCACAGCACTGCCCGCCAGTAAACTAATTTTGATCATGGAAATCAAGTAAGAAAGGCCATGTTATTAAGCTTGTACTTACTTACTTCTCCACTCCAGTGCCTTGACACAGTTCCACTTCGTGTGTCCTACTTGTAGTAAGACTTTCCTAAAATGAGTGGAGTTGGAGAGGAGAGAAGGTGGAAATTGGGCTAGCGATTCTTTTTATTTTTTTACGATTGATCGATTTTATTTATTTGAAAGGAAGTCTTCTTCCATCTGCTGGTTTACTCCCCAAATGCCCACAACATCCAGGGCTGAGCCAAACTGAAGCCAGGAGCCCAGGACCTCGGTCTGGGTCTTCCATGTGGGTGGCAGGAACTCCAGTACTTGAGCCATCATCTGGTGCTTTCCCATGGGTATTATCAGGGAGCTGAATCTAAGCAGACGAGCTGAGATTCAAGCTAGCGCTCCAATATAGGATGCAGGCGTTTAAACTGTGTTGCAACACCCACCCTAGACAGCTGTTCTTAATCTGTGCCACCACAATGCCATCCCCTCCCTTTAAAAAAAAATATTTGTTTGAAAGGCAGAGTGATGGAGGGAGGAGGAGAGGCAGAGAAAGAAAGGGATCTTCCATTCACTTGCTCTCCAGGCCAAAGCCTGGAGCTCTGAACTCTTGGGGGGAGTGGTCTCCCACGTTGGTGGCAGGGGCTCAAGTACTTAGGCCATCTTGCACTGCTTTCCAGGCTCATTGGCGGAGATCTGGCTAGGAAGCACTGCAGCCGGGACTCGAACCAGTGTCCTGACTTGGAATGCCAGTGCTGCAAGTGGTGGTTTAACCCACAGCATGGCCAGCTGTTCTTGAAGTCAGAAAGGAATTATCTTTAAAATAAAGTTTTAATATTCTTCTCCTTTTTTACAATAAATTTCAGCAAGAGCTTTTCAAGATTCTGCATAGTATTTTGTTAAACGGCGAAACCCGTGAGGCCGCTCTGGGTTACATGGCAGCCGTCGTCAACGCCAATATGAAGAAAGCGCAGATGCAGGTAGGACTCCCAGAGGCTCCTCTTCTGTTTGCGTGGAATCCTTCTTCACACCCAGATTTGTTTCTGGGCGTTGTTCTCAGAGTCGGGGCTGTAGCAGTGAGCACAACAGAGAAGCTGCCTGCTTTGTGGAGCGTAAGCTCCTGGGGTCAGTGCGGAGGCACATGAACGTGTTCCAGAATCTGTGTTCAGATGAAGCAGAGGCAAGGCCTTGAAAGCAGCTGTGGAGGGCTCAGAGGCAGGGCCGAGTGGCTGTGTTTTCTGGGGGTAGGGAAGGCCTCTCTGAGGCGGTACTGAGAAAAGAGCCAGCCCCTACAAGGCTGCAGAGAGGGCTTTGGACACCCACGGCAGGCGCCAGGTGGAAATGAGCCAGCTTTGGAGCAGGCCCAACACGCAGGCCTTTGTGCCTACAGGATGATGAACAGGAAAGAAAAAGGCAGGCCCTGGGGAGTGGGCGCACCAGGCTGCGTCACGGGGGCTGGGGGGTGAGGGAGGAGGAGTCGCGGCTTGCACGGCAAGAACCGGTGGGAAGGTTTGTAGCGTTGCATCTGCAGGATCTGCTGTGTGGAGAAATGACGCAGCAGGAGCGGGGGTTGGGGCAGACCTGAGAGGCCGGGTACAAGGTCATGAACCCGGCTGTCCGTCCTGGTGAGAGAGGCTGGCTGCTGAGGCTACTTGGCAGAGTAGAAGAGGTCAAAGTGCGTTCTTCCCAGAGTATTAGTAAACGTTAAATGAGTGATTCAGCACTTACATTCAAAAGCAAAAGTGACCTCTGTCCTTGGCTCTACCCTTTACTGGAGTAGGAACCTATCTAGTTGCTTCTCTGTGCCTCAGTTTCCCTTGTCTGCTCAAAGGGGATAATAGTAGTGCCTAACTGCTGGTGGATCTGTTTGATATTTAGCTGTCAGCATCGTGCCTGGTCCAGTGTTAACTGCCACCCTGGTGATCGTAGGTCACTGATGCCGGACTGTGCTGCTGCCGTTGGTAGAGAACCTGTCGGGTGGTGACAAGTGGAGCCAGTTGCTCTCATGCTGTTGAGGGGAAATGAAGAGAAAGAAAGGAGCATTTGTTGTGCTTCTACTAGAATACTAATTTTAAGGCTCTTGGGCAAACCAGTTCAGTCCCTGAGTCCTTGTTTCGTCCTCTGATAAGTGAGCAGCAGCATCGCTGACCCCTGACTCAGTGTGGAGACCCCGGCGAGGTTGTGTGCGGTGATTCGTGGACACGTGCTGCTAGAGGGCCGGCAGTGAGGGCGTGTGTGACCCCTCTTTGTCTTGAGGATGCTGTTGTTTTTGAATGTTCAGTCTGCTTTCATATAAATTGGGCAAAATTTCCATTCCAAGTGTTACTTTGAATTCTTTTTTTTTTTTTCATGCTTCACAGACAGATGATAGATTAGTATCTACAGACGGATTTATGCTGAATTTCCTTTGGGTACTACAGCAGCTAAGTACAAAAATCAAGTTAGAAACAGTTGATCCAACGTATATCTTCCACCCAAGATGCCGGATTACTCTCCCCAATGATGAGACGCGCGTGAACGCCACGATGGAGGACATGAGCAGCTGGCGGGCTGAGCTCTGTGAGTGCTGTCCTTGAGCCCTGTCTGTGCATCCTCACGGGTTGTTCTCACCTCTTACTAATGTGAATTTGTAAGACGGAGATACACAATAAACATAAACACACTAAAAAATTCTTACTTTGAACCAGCCAACATAAATAGATAGAACGGGCCGGCGCCGCGGCTCACTAGGCTAATCCTCCGCCTAGCGGCGCCGGCACACCGGGTTCTAGTCCCGGTCGGGGCGCCGGATTCTGTCCCGGTTACCCATCTTCCAGGCCAGCTCTCTGCTGTGGCCAGGGAGTGCAGTGGAGGATGGCCCAAGTCCTTGGGCCCTGCACCCCATGGGAGACCAGGAGAAGTACCTGGCTCCTGGCTCCTGCCATCGGATCAGCGCGGTGCGCCGGCCGCAGCGCGCTGGCCGCGGCGGCCATTGGAGGGTGAACCAACGGCAAAGGAAGACCTTTCTCTCTGTCTCTCTCTCTCTCTCACTGTCCACTCTGCCTGTCAAAAAAAAAAAAAAAAAAAAAAAAAATAGAACAAATGAAAGGAAATGTATTGTTCTGAGTAAGGGGTAAAAAAATATATAATAAAAGCAGTAGAACAACTCAGGTCTCTAGATTTTATATATACCATTAAAATCCTCATGAAATATTTCACAGATGTTGACAGGTTGATGGTTTGAAAATCCATTGATTTCTTCTTGTTAATAAGGCATGTGACTTAATGAGACACACCAAAGCCCTGTGACACTGACTTTCTAAAGTAATATAAAGTGGGACTGGCACTGTGGCATAGTAGGTTAAGCCTCTGCCTGTAGCACCAGCATCCTATATGGGTGCTAATTCAAGTCGCAGCTGCTCCACTTCTGATCCAGCTCCCTGCTAATGGCCTGGGAAAGCCAAGGAAGATGGCTCAAGTGCTTGGGCCCCTGCACCCTGGTGGGAGACCCAGAAGAAGCTCCTGGCTTTGGATCAGCCCAGCTCGGCCATTTCAGCCATTTGGGGAGTGAATCAGTGGATGGAAGGACCGCCCCCCCCCCCCCCCCGCCCGCCTCTAACTCTGCCTCTCAGATAAATAAACTTTTTTTTTAAATAATAATAATACAAAGTGATTCATAGACTAGGATGAATCCCTGCAAGTCCCTAGTTACCTGGCAGTGATGGGATCCTGGACAGATGTACCCATTACAGAAAGAGGTGTTGGGTGTTTTTGTTTTTGTTTTTAAGATTTTGTTTTATTTATTTGAGAGGTAGAGTTACAGACAGAAGGAGAGACAGAGAAAGGTCTTCTGTCCACTGGTTGACTTCCCAAATGGCCACAACAGCCGGAGCTGAGCTGATCTGAAGCCAGGAACCAGGAATTTCTTCCAGATCTCCCACACAGGTGCAGGGCCCAAAAACGTAGGCCATCCTCTACTGCTTTCCCAGGCAATAGCAGAGAGCTGGATTGGAAGAGGAGTAGCTGGGACTTGAACCGGTGCCCATATGGGATGCTGGTGCCACAGCACGGCCCCTAGAAAGATGTTTAAACTTGCTGGTGAGAGCTAAGTACCCAGTGAGCAATAAAGTCAGTTTCTGATTATCATGTATACTAATGGCTGTTGGTAGAATATCAGAATCACACCTCATAGACTAATAAATTCTAAAAGAGTCAAAGGGTTAAACATTTATTTTTTAAAATCCAATTTAAAAAATTTAGAAAATTGAGCAAAGAGTTTGACCCAGCTGTGAAGCAGAAAGAAATTTATGAACTGAAGCATATCCTCAGAGATAATAAGTATGTTTCTTGATGTGTCAGCGTAACTTTCATAGAATGAGACAGAATGAATGTGTGAAATGAAAGATTGACTAAGAACATTCTACTCGATGTAATAGAACTTGTGAATGTGTAAAGACAGAAGTGCATCCTCCCAGGAGATAGTTTTCTTTTACTTCGGAGAAACCGTGAACAGTACTGTGTGTGTCATTGGGAATCAGACACACTTGGGGAAACAAAGTGCAAGATACAAACTGAGGGAAAATCAGGTTGCCATCATGTCTACAAATTAACCAAAACCTGCGGGCTGACATAGAATGTAAGCTTGCGAGGAAATGGGTGACATTTAATCAATATTATTCACAGTGTGTCAAGTGGATTCTGGAGGTTCATAGCAAAAATTCTTAACGCTGGGTGCAGGTGGACAGGAGGAATAACTCCTGACATGATGAACCAGGAGATAGCAGTGGTCAGTAACGGTCAGTAGTATACTTTTTTTTTTTTTCCTGAAAGAGTGGACAGTGAGAGAGAGAGGGACCGAAAGAAAGGTCTTCCTTTGCCGTTGGTTCACCCTCCACTGGCCGCCGCGGCCGGCACATCGCGCTGATCCGAAGCCTATTGTTTATAAACCAAAAACCAGAAACAACAAACGTGCAAGGAAATAGCTGTGGTATCTGCAGCTGATGAACATAATTTAGTGCCATTTAGAGACTTAAATGAGACTTGTATTGAATGATACAAATGGCTTTGTGAAATGCATCAGGAAGACACATCACAAATGATGGCCATCTGTGTAGATGCTGAATCACGGGACAGAGGACCCGGTCATTAAATGCACTGCTGCTCTTAGGACATAGTGTGTAATTTTAACAAGTGTCCCTAAACTTCCTGAAAATGAAGGTATTGCTTTTCTCTCCTACATAGAGCTTCCTGCCCCCGATTTAGATACGCAATGCGTTTTACTCAAGGAATGGTGTTTTTTCTCCTAGACGGTGATCAGCCTCCATTTTCTGAGCCGAAATTCCCCACTGAGTGCTTCTTTCTCACCCTGCACGCCCACCACCTCTCCATTCTTCCTAGTTGCCGTCGCTACATCCGCAGGCTCCGAGCCATCAGGGAGCTCAACAGGTAAGTGCGTGGTGCCACGTGTGGGATGGTTGCCTGAGTCTCCAGTGTTCTCACGCACCGCCAGCTCTGTTGTGGGGTAGCACGTGTGTTACCACGTCCTGCCTGCCTCCAACCCCGCGTCCGTGTTCCTCAGTTGTTCAGGGACCTTTACCTGGTACCGGATCCAGATGTTCATTTCTGAGAGTCTGAACCGTGACAGCCCCGGCTGTTTGAGGTTACTGTAGACTCCACTAACTCTCTGGACACAACCTCACCAGGAGGCCTGCTGAGGATCCCCTGGTGCCAGAAAAAGAGCCTGCCTCCCTCCCTTGACTGTGAAAGTGGTGACCATGGTTTCCTCTGGTAGGCAAGATCACCTTCTTCCCACAACGTGTAACCCCCTTGCCTATTGTCCTGTGGCATGTGGATTCTAGAATGACCACAGAGCAGTGTTTGTTCCAGTTCAGTATAGTTGGTTTTTTTTTTTTAAGATTTTATTCATTTATTTTTAAAATATTTATTTATTTACTTGAAAGGCAGAGTTACAGAGGCAGAGAGAGAGAAAGGTCTTCCATCCACTGGTTCACTCCCCAGTTGGCCACAATGGCCAGAGCGGTGACGATCCAGAGCCAGGAGCCAGGAGCTTCTGGGTCTCCTGCATGGGTGCAGGGGCCCAAGCACTCAGGCCATCTTCCACTGCTTTCCCAGGCCACAGCAGAGAGCTGGATGGGAAGTGGAGCAGCCGGGACTTGAACGGGTGTCCGTATGAGATGCCAGCACTGTAGGCAGCAGCTTTTACCTGCTGTGCCATGGCGCCAGCCCTGATTTTCATTATTTGAGAGGCAGAATTGTAGACAGAGAGAGGAAGAGATGGAGAAAGAGATCTTCATCCATTGGTTCACTCCCTAAATGGCCACAATGGCCAGAGCTGGGCAAATCTGGAGCCAGGAGCCTCCTCAGGTCTCCCATGTGGGTGCAGCGGTCCAAACACTTAGACCATCTTCCACTGCTTCCCAGGCCATAGCAGGGAGCTGGATCGGAAGAGGAGCAGCCAGGACACAAACTGGTGCCCACATAGGATGCTGGTGCTGCAGGCGGAGGCTTAGCTCGCTGCACCACAGTGCTGGCCTCTAGCGTTTCTTAAGCTAAGCTTTGTCCCCATCTAACAGAACTTCCAGAAGAGGGTCAGGGAAACAAAAACTTTTTGGACAAGTTATCTGGAATAATAATAATAATAAGGCCAATAATATAATAATAATAATAACTTATTATTATTAAACCTTTTGGTCCAGACTCTGTGAAGCAGCTGTGAGAGACTGTGTGCCTGTAACTGAACCTTGCTAACATCTCTCACTGATTCCAGAGGTCACTCTATAGGTTCCTCCCGATTTTCTGTTCCACAGATAATCTCGTCTATAAATAATAAACTTTTCTTTCATGTACTTTTTTCTCATGCTTTTATGGACTAACTATAATTTCTAATATGAATAAAAACAACTTTCTTGAAATTTCTGTCTTGTTGCAGTAAGAGAATGCTTTATATAATATCCTGTGTGCCACATTAATAATTTGCTTTTATTTCTAGTTTGCCACAAGTTTTTCATGCTTAGCAAGAGTTGAGTTTTACTAAATGCTTTTTTTTTTTTTTTTTTTTTTTTTTGAAAGGCAGAGTGGACAGTGAGAGAGAGAGACAGAGAGAAAGGTCTTCCTTTGCCATTGGTTCACCCTCCAATGGCCGCCACGGCTGGTGTACTGTACTGATCCGAAGGCAGGAGCCAGGTGCTTCTCCTGGTCTCCCATGGGGTGCAGGGCCCAAGCACTTGGGCCATCCTCCACTGCACTCCCTGGCCACAGCAGAGAGCTGGCCTGGAAGAGGGGCAACCGGGACAGAATCCGGTGCCCCAACCGGGACTAGAACCCGGTGTGCCGGCGCCGCTAGGCGGAGGATTAGCCTAGTGAGCCGCAGCTCCGGCCACTAAATGCTTTTACTATACCTGTTATGGATATTGGATGGTTTTGTCTCCTTTATTCTGGTAATGAGGTTGAATTACTAAAAGACAGTGATAAAGTCATCAGGGCTTAGAGTCTTCTTTGTGGGAAGCTTTTAAAAGTAGAGAGACAGAGACAGACACACTTTGGAGAGCTTCCATCCATTGATTCATGGCCCAAATGCCTGCAGTGACCAGGGACTCGGGCCTGGAGCCTGGCACTCAATCCAGTCTCCCACATGGGTGGCAGGGACCTACCTACCGAAGCCATTACCACTGCCTCACAGGGTTGAGCTGGGAATCAAACCCAGGTCTCCACTGTCAGACGCAGGCATCCTTACGAGGGTCTTAACTACTAGGCCAAATGCCTGCCCCAGGAAAGGTTTTAATTATTGGTTTTATTCATTTTAATACATATGGGACTATTTGGATTTTCTTTGCTTTTTTTTTTTTTTTTTAAGTTGCATTTATTTGAAAGGCAATGAAACAGAGACAGAGGAAGAGACAGAGGGAAAGAGAAAAAGAAAGATCATCTACCCACTAGTCCCCAGATGGCCCCAGATGGCTGCAATAGCCAGGCCTGGAACTCCAGATCTTCCACATGGGTGGCAGAGACTCAGTACCTGAGCCATCCTCTGCTGCCTCCCTGCACGTTAGCAGGGAGCTGGATCAGAAGCAGAGAACTCCAGTGTGGGGTGTCGGCATACCTAGCAGGAGCCTAACCAGCTGTGCCGCAACGTCGTCTGCTTTGTGGTATCTTGTGTCAGTATTTTCATGATAGCTAAAGTTTCCAAACATTTAGACAGAACGTTGTTCATAATGCCCTTTATCATTTTAGTGTCTGTAGGATCTTTGCTACCTTATTACTCTGCGTTCTTTTAGTTTTAGTTTGCCTGTTTTGGTTTCTCTTGTCCTTTAACGGTTACTTAAAGTTTTCGTTTTCGTACTTCTGACTACTCAAGATGATTTTGTTTCCTGCTAAGCAGGGCTTTAACTGCATCCCTCACTTTTGGCATGTCCCATCTTACTGCTGAGCTCTAGAATTTTGCTTTTATTTATTCTTGTTTGACCTCTGGTTATTTAAAAATATCTTCTTTTTGAGTGGGTGTTTAGCGCAGCAGTGAAGTTGCCCCTTGGAACCCTGCATCCCATATTGGAGTGCCTAGTTTGAGACCCTCCCACCCCACTTGTGATTCCAGCCTCCTGCTAACGCTCACTAGGGGGCAGCAGTGTTGGCTCAAGTACTCGGGTCCCTGCCACCCACATGGAAGACCTACATTGAATTCTGGGCGCCTGGCTCTGGCCTGGCTCTGGCCTGGCTCAGGCCTGGCTCAGGCCTGGCTATCGTGGGCATTTGGGAAGTGACCTGGTGGGTGAACAGTCTCTCTCTGCCTGTCTTTTTGTCTCTTCTCTCTCTGAATCTCGGTCACTCTGCCTTTTAAACCAGCAAATGGAAGATCTTTCTGTTTCTCTTTCTTGCTCTTATAAATCTTTAAAAGGGAAGGATTATTCTAAGGTACTATTTGATTTATTAAATTCTTTGAAGGACTGAAAAGCCTCCAGAGCTGTGCTGTGAGCCTGGACTGCCAGGGAAGCTGCTTCAGGGTTCAGCCTAACAGCGCCGCCTCTGCCCTGGGCACAGCCGGGACCTTAGGAGAATCTCGCGACTCCCACCTCACAGTGTTTGCTCCCATCTGTTGTGGAATCTAGGGATTGCAGAAACGCCATCAACAAGGCAGTCTAGGAAGTGTAGTTTCTAAAGACGTGGTGACTTGTAGCACTGCGCCCAGTGGACAGTGGTTGGAGCAGTGTAGCGGGCAGGCGGTAAGGCCTGCCGCGTGGGCAGCAGTGGGGAAGACCGCCTCGCGGACAGGTGCTGTCTGCGCGTGAATCTGAAGGACATGCAGGCGCAGGAGATGACTCAGAGAGCAGAGCATCCCGAGCTGAGGCCGCAGCAATCGTGGAAGAAGGGGGAAGGAGCCTCTGCTTCGGGTCATGGAGTCAGTGAAGCGACCTTGAGTTGTCACTGCAGAAACTGTCCCAGAAATGAGGGAGCTGTGTACGTTCCTCCCAGAAAGCGGACTGTACTCCTGAAACCTAAAGTGCTGGCATTTAAGACTTCATTATTTTAGGAACCAGCGGGGAAGCAAAGTGCTGCTAATTAAATGTCATTTGCTGCTGAGATGTTCTCTGACTTTGCAGACGCGTGAATGGGGCAAGCGGGGAGCTGTTCCTGATTGCCAACAAAACGATCCAGATGCACGGGTCAGTGGGTCCCGGGGCTTTCCTTGACTGTTAGTCTTTGATTTCAGAACCGTGGAAGATTTGAAAAATAACGAGAGCCAATGGAAAGACTCGCCCCTGGCGACCAGACACCGCGAGATGCTGAAGCGCTGCAAGACTCAGCTCAAGGTCTGTGTGGCCATCGGGCATTCCCGCTGCAGCCTCACGCCGCCTCTTCCCCAGACTGTGGCCTTGAGTGGGAGTCAGCGTCGTGTTTTCTTAATTGTTCTTTCCAAGAAAAATCAGTACATTTTAAACCTTGTTGATACCTTGCATGTATCTGCATAAAGTTATTGAAATCATGGGACAAAACATGCCTACACCAGTGGTGACAATGTGGATTCCTAATGAGTTTTATCTTTCTCAGTTTAACATCACCCCCTTTGCTCTGTTTTGGGCAAGATCTTCCCCACCTGACAGCCCCCTCCTCAAAATACACACACACACATCCAGCCGTGCACTTTGCTGACACTTGACAGCAGGTCTGTGCTGGTGGAAAGCTGGCTTTCCTCTGCCCGCAAGTCGTGTGTGGTGGAAAGCAATCTGCTGCCCAGGCCCATTCTGGGATGGAAACATCCCCAGCAACAAGCTGAATCTGCGAGAAGTCTGTGCCTTGCTCTTCCCCGTTGAAGTTTCAGCTACACCGCTGGGTGCTAAGTGATCAAGCTTTCTAGTAGGATGCTATGGGGAGCTCTTACCTGACTTGGATTCCTGGTACAAATTAAGACTTCAGTTTTATCTGCTAGCAGACTAAACCTACTCAGGATGCAAAATAAACCAGGGGCTTTTACCTGGGGTCTGTAGGCCCCTCCTCACCCCACGAGTCCCCTGATGGGTTCCCAGGGGTCTGTGGGCTGTACAAGTGCACGCACAGGGTCAGTCCTCACAGGAGTCCCCAGCGTGGACAGCTTGTCGGTGGTGGTGCTGGCGCTCTCGCAGATGTTTGGTTGGCTTTTTCCCGCTAACGGCTTTCACACCCAAAGGGCCTCCCTGGCGTCCTCCCCAGCCAGTTCAATACCTGACGTGTGACAGTAGCCGCTCACCTTCCCGAGCACCAGCTGTGGCCTCTGTGTCCCGGGTTTGCTCAGTGTACCTTTGTTCTCAGCATAAGGGAGGCTCTTGAGACGAAGCCACTGTCCATAGCCGCTTAGCTAAGAGCCAGCCCCCTTGCGCTCCAGAGCCCAGGCTTGCCCAGGCCCCCGCACCCTTCCCTGCCTGGTCACCCAGGGGCCTGACCTCTGACTCACTGGTGGGGGTAAACCTCCTTCCGCAGAAACTGGTGCGGTGCAAGGCCTGTGCTGACGCGGGCTTGCTGGACGAGAGCTTCCTGAGACGTTGTCTGAACTTCTACGGCCTTCTCATCCAGCTGCTGCTGCGCGTCCTGGACCCCGCGTACCCCGAGTGAGTCGGCCCTCCCCTCTCTCCTTTAGAGCCAGGAGCTAGCGCCAGGCCCTGCTCGGGATTGCACTTCCCGACTTCCGGCTTGGATTTACGTGGACTGTAGGTTAGCTTCGTAGGTGTCTCCTTGTGGATGGTCGCAGAAAGAGCTGAGTGTCAGCACCTGTTATTTCATTTCAACATCGGATACTTTTTTAACTTGTGGGAAGCCTTTCATGGAAAAGGAGATCTAGCAAGGGGAAGCAGAAGTGCTGCGTGTCGGGGGGTCAGGCCCCACGAGGCGCTGGGTCCAGGGGACACCCAGCTAGTTCAGAGTGAGCTAAGAACGTTGACCATCATCTTGTCACCAATGGGATGTCACCTCCATGCAGTCACTTTCAGTTTACTTCTTAATAAGACGTCTCTGGGTTACCAGTGTAGCTGAGATTGGCCATAGCCCCTGGAGGTGTGGAAAATGCTATTTAAAATACATGTGTAACTCTGTTGTCTCAAACAGTTTGACCTGCATGCAGTGACCAAATAGGATCTTTTCATTCCCTTCCTATTTGGTTTATTGGTTAACAAGAAATCGAGAAAAGGAAACACATTTTGCAGCATGCTAGCATATCCATTGTCTTTGTTATTCTTTGTTCATTTCTGCATGTTTTCTTTGCCTTCATACTTTTTACATAGCTGTATTATATTACTTTTCCCAAACAGAGCTCTTATTTAGTGAGTGTAATAAGCCTTGTAGTTTGACATACTGTGAATTGTGGTTTTATAAACTGCTTTTTTTCTTTGACAGCATAACACTGCCTTTAAATTCAGATGTCCCCAAGGTATTTGCAGCGTTGCCTGAGTTTTATGTAGAAGATGTTGCGGAATTTTTATTTTTTATTGTACAGTAAGTGCCTTTGCCATTCTATATGGTTCTAATATGTTTTTGTTCACTGCTTGTGCATGGTATCATGCACTGTGTTGTAAGCCTCCATTTTGTGTCTGGAATTTTATGTAACTATTTTAACTGAATGCTGCCTAGAGACTGGAGAAGTGGATGCAAGTGTGGCACCAGTCCAGTTCCAGTAATATCTCAAAGACAGAGTCAGGATTAACAATGCAGATAATAACGTATTCTGTGAAAATTGGGTTGAATTCCTCTAATGGCTGAGAATGTGTTTCTGAGAAACAGAAGGAGCAAACAGTTTATAAATAATCTGGTGAACATCCAAAACCCAGAAATACCCACACTTATATTTCTACCAAAATTTGTCTCAAGTGTGAAAATGAAGAAAGCTCACAAAGAAGTGGCATGAGTGTATAACTGATACTGGGAGTTTTTAAATGTTCTTCAAATCCTCATTTGGTTTATAAAACTCATTTTATTTTTAAGACACGCAGGTTAGAAGAGGCACAATTGCACCATGGTTGCAGTGTCATCGTGGCTAGGCAAGAAAACTGTGAACAGGTTTTGAAAAGTAAAAGTGGTACAGGGTCACAATCGCAGAGTACAAATTATGAAAGTTTCCTAAAAACCAGAAAGAGCCAGAATGAGGCAGAGCAAGCTTTCTTGATGTCTTTAAAGAGGATCCAAGTAGGGAGCTGGCGTTTGGCTTTTGGTTCGTAATCTTGCGTCCCGCATCAGAGCGCCTGGGTTTGATTCCGGGTGCTGGCGGCTGCTGTTGCTGCTGCTGCTGCTTTTTTAAAGATTTATTTTACTTGTTTAAAAGTAGAATTAGAGACAGAGAGGTCTTCCATCTGTAGGTTCCCTCCCCAAACGCCACATTGACCAGGGCTGTGCCAGGCCAGAGCCAAGAACTTTTTCCAGATTTCCCATGTGGCCGCAGGGGCCCAAGCACTCAAGCCATCTTCCGCTGCTTTCCCAGGTGCTTAGCAGGGAGCTGGGTTGGAAGTGGAGCAGCCAACATTCAAACCAGCCCGTGGGATGCTGGCATCACAGGCAGCAGCTTTAGCCGCTACACCACAGTGCCATCCCCGGCTCTGGCTTCTGACTCCAGCTCCCCACCATTGCAGACCCTGGGAGGTGGCGGTGACAGCTCAGATAACTGGGTTCCTGCCACCCAGGTGGGAGATCAGGAGTGCGATCCTGGCTGCAGACCTTGACCTAGCCTCGTGCTAGTAGCCTTTGTGGACGTTTGAGAGAGAGACAGCAGATGGGTGCCTATATGCTCTTTTTGCCTCGCAAATAAATAAATAAAAATTTAAAATTAACAGAAAGAAAACAAAATTAGAGGCAACACGTGAGTTTTGAATGATGAGAAATATAAGAGGTGACTGACAGGCTTTATTTGTTGATGGAAACCAGTCTTGGAATTTAAGCAACTTAAGTCACATTTAAAAATTTATTTAAAGCTCAGTAATAAAAAAACACCTATTTGAAAATTTTCTTGTGTATTTATTCTGTTTTTGGAAGAGCTATGGAGTTTTGTTTTTAATTTTTAATCTTCATCAAAAAAATTTAAAGACTTTTTGGTTAATGAAGATGCTGCTTTTCTAAAATTCTATCTGATTTAATCATGTCCTTTTGGTTTACTTATATAGCATAATAAGTAAATGTGCCCCAGCAGCATGTGATGGATAATATAATTGCTTGAAGATCAGCAAGCTACAGGGAACTCCAGGAACAACTCAAGGGGAACCCCAAGCCCGTGTCTCCTGTGTCCCCTCCCCCCTAGTGACACCGCCTCCCCGAGTCGAGTTTCTCAGCGATCGTTTCTCGCCCCCCCTTGCCTCCATCCAGATACTCTCCTCAGGTGCTGTACGAGCCCTGCACTCAGGACATTGTGATGTTCCTCGTGGTGATGCTGTGCAACCAGAACTACATCCGGAACCCCTACCTGGTGGCCAAACTGGTGGAGGTCATGTTCATGACCAACCCGTCCGTTCAACCACGAACCCAGAAGTTTTTTGAAATGATTGAAAACCACCCTCTCTCCACCAAACTGCTGGTCCCTTCCCTGATGAAGTTTTACACAGGTAGGTTCCTGGTCTGCAGTGTGGCCAAGGTGCTCAAAACCTGCTGCCTAAAATCCTGATGTCCACTCACGGAAGTGTAATCTATCCCACTGCTGACAGAGCAGGCGCTACCGGTTACTCCCCCCCGAGTTTTGACATACTGCGTAGACTGTTCTACGGACTATATTCCCTGATGATTCGGCAGGACCTGTTCATCGGTGATTGGCATTGAGGTCCAGTAGGCGTCAGCAGCACAAGTTAGAGTGTTTTCCCCAGTGAAATTTCCTGATTTGTTCTAGCTTTGAACATACAGCGTTAGCTTTGTAACACTGATCTATACCCGAGTTTCCAGAGGGTGGGTAAAGTAGGAGGCTTGTTGAAAATGCTTGTTCTTGGGGTAGGCTCTTGGCATAGCAATCGAAGCACTTGGGATACCCACATTCCTTATCAGAGTGCCTGAGTTCTAGCCCAGCTTCCTGCTAATGTGCAGCCTGTGAGCTAGCAGCGCTGGCGCAAGGTGTTGGATCCCTGCCACCCCTGTGGGAGATCTGAGCTGAATTTGGGTTCCTTGCTGTGACCTGATCGTCAGCTGTAACTGTCGCAGACATTTGGAGAGTAACCAGTGGATGGGAGATCGTTCCCTGTGGTTTATCACTCTGCCTTCCAAGTTCATAAAAATAAATTTAAAAATTTTAAGTTTTAAAAAATGTTTTTTCGTTGGTCCCATTAAAACCAATGGAATCGAGCCGGCGCCGCGGCTCACTAGGCTAATCCTCCGCCTAGCGGCGCCGGCACACCGGGTTCTAGTCCCAGTTGGGGCGCCGGATTCTGTCCCGGTTGCCCCTCTTCCAGGCCAGCTCTCTGCTGTGGCCAGGGAGTGCAGTGGAGGATGGCCCAGGTGCTTGGGCCCTGCACCCCATGGGAGACCAGGAAAAGCACCTGGCTCCTGGCTCCTGCCATCGGATCGGCGCGGTGTGCCGGCCGCAGCGCGCTGGCCAAGGCGGCCATTGGAGGGTGAACCAACAGCAAAGGAAGACCTTTCACTCTCTGTCTCTCTCTCTCTCACTGTCCACTCTGCCTGTCAAAAAATAAAAAAAATAAAAAAAAAAAAAAAAAAAAAAAAACAATGGAATCAGGACTTCTGGGGCCCTGGGAATCTTCACTCACTCGTTAATTCTGTGCACGTTCATTGAGCACCTGCTGTTTGCCAGGCACTGTTCCAGCTGTCGGGTTGTGCTGGGGAAAAAGAGCACGTGGGACACTCTGCAGGGAGATCCTCTTCCCCGGGCTGAATTTATTCCAAATTTTAGTTATATTTTAACATTTATTTATTTGAAAGGCAGAGTGGCAGAGAGAGAGAGGGAGGGAGGGACAGGGAAAAGAGATCTTCCATGCACTGGTTCACTCCCCATTCGGCCAGGACTGCCTGGGTTAGGCCAGGGCAGAGCCAGGAGCCAGAAATTCATTCCGGTCTCACACTTCCATTGGGCCGTCTGCTGCTGCTTCCCAGACGCATCAGCAGGGAGCCACGTCAGAAGCAGAGCAGCGGCAGCTCCAGCTGGCACTCTGATCGGATGCTGGCAGCACAAGCAGCGGCGTAATCTGCTCCACGTCACAGGCCCCCAAGTTTTGGGTCCCATTTTCATGTGAACTGTCACCCTGGGACCTACTAGCAGAGGCATCGGCCGGGACTGATGGAACACTTCCTGGCAGGTTGGGTATTTCTCGGAAAGCAAGTCTGCTCGTCTGCTGAACTAGCACAAGGTGCACCTTCAGGGAAGTGTCTGTACTCTGTGTTCTTTTTTTTTTTTTTTTTTTTTTTTTTGACAGGCAGAGTGGACAGTGAGAGAGAGAGACAGAGAGAAAGGTCTTCCTTTGCCGTTCGTTCACCCTCCAGTGGCCGCCGCGGCCAGCGCGCTTGCGGCCGGCGCACCACACTGATCCGAAGGCAGGAGCCAGGTGCTTCTCCTGGTCTCCCATGGGGTGCAGGGCCCAAGCACTTGGGCCATACTCCACTGCACTCCCGGGCCACAGCAGAGAGCTGGCCTGGAAGAGGGGCAACCGGGACTAGAACCCGGTGTGCCGGCGCCGCAAGGCGGAGGATTAGCCTAGTGAGCCGTGGCGCCGGCCTGTACTCTGTGTTCTTAGGAGGGACCCTGGCCACCCGAAACGCTGCCCTCCGCTGTCCACAGCAGCACTGGCCAGTTTGAGGACCCCTCAAGTGTTCGCAGGGTCCTTCCTGTGAACCAGGACCGGCTTCTGCCTTTTTGGAGGCCCAGGCCGCCCTCATGCTCATTATTTGTGAGGGTCCGAGCATCCTCCTGCCTTTCCCTTGTCGTCCTTATTTTGTGGCATCTAATGAGAGTTTCTCACCTATCTCAGACTGCTCACATCCTCTTAAACCAGGCAAGCTCACAAGACCCTGCACGTTTTGTTAGCATCCTTTCTTTGGCAATGGCGAAGAGTACTCAAAGGCCCGGTAGGGGAGGCACACAGGGCGGTCAGGTCACAGGTGTGTGCACGTTGCTGACAGGTGCAACGGAGGAGAATTCAACTTTCATTAAAATAATAAGGAGATGTTACTTTTCACCTGCCAAGTTTGTTTGTTTATTTTTTGCCAGGCAGAGTTAAACAGTGGGAGAGAAAGAGACAGAGAGAGACTTATAGACAGTGAGAGAGAGAGAGAAAGGTCTTCCTTCCATTGGTTCACCCCACAAATGGCCGCTACAGCCGGAACTACGCCAATCCGAAGCCAGGAGCAGGTGTTTCCTCCTGGTCTCCCATGGGGTGCAGGGCCCAAGCACTTGGGCCATCCTCCACTGCACTCCCGGGCCACAGCAGAGAGCTGGCCTGGAGGAGGAGCAACTGGGGCAGAACTGGTGCCCTGACCGGGACTAGAACCCGGTGTGCCGGCACTGCAGGTGGAGGATTAGCCTAGTGAGCCGCGGCGCCGGCCAACCAAGTTTACTTTTTAAGCTGAAAATACCCGGTACAAACATGGTTGTGCAAAAGGCTACTTAATCTATAGTGCTGTGACACTCTCGTGAGCATGTAGATGTGAAAATTTTTCCAGAATCCATTTGGCAGCCCACACAGAAAGCTTTAAATACTTGCTGTCTTTTGTATCAAGTCAAGATCCAGTCAGGAGGGGCCCGCGCTGTGACGCAGTAGGTTAATCCTCTGTGGTGCCAGCATCCCATATGGGCACCTGTTCTAGTCCCGGCACCTCCTCTTCTGATCCAGCTCTTTACTTTAATAGAGAGAATTTAATAGAAGGAATTGGTCGAATAGTTACCTGAAGACAGACTGCAGAAACAGAGACTCAAGGTGGGCCCTGCCCTGCCCGTGGGCATGGGGTGTTAGAACCCAGCTGTTGAATGAGGGTGGCGCAGAGCTAGGACCCTGGCCTCTGAGGAAGGACACTGGCCACCCTGTACTGGGGTCTGAGTGCTAGTTCTGGGGCTACCAGAGCTGGAAATTGGGACCAGCTGCTGCTGTTGAGAGGGAAAACTTGCTGGCAGAACCGCAGAAGGACCCAGTCCCCGCATCCTGCCGCACCCGCTGCTGGAGAGGCTGACGGACAGCTGGCGCAGACAAGTTCTGCGGCCCCAGCCCAGAGCTGAGAGACAACTGAAGTATCAGCAGCCCTCTTACATGTAAGCTTAATTTGTAGTAGTTTATTCCATGGAAATGATTGTGTGTGCTTATGTCTCTACTGACCAAGACATTATGTATAAAGCAGTATAGTGAAAATATCAACAGCAACCTCGGAGTGTGTATTTGGCCTAATGGTAAAGATGCCTGCAGCCCATATCTGATGTCTGGGGTCAGTATCTTGCTCTGCTCCTGACTCCAGCTTCCTGCTGATGCAGATCCTGGGAGGCAGTGGTGAGGGCTCAAGTCGTGGGACTCAGGCCACCTCCATGGAAACCCAGACTGCGTTCTGAGCTCCTGGAATCTCCCTGGCCCAGCCTTGACTTGCATTTGTGGAGCAAACCAGCAGATGGAAGATAGCTGCCTGCATGCCTCTCTAAATAAATAAATAAATAAATAATTTTAAAAGACTCAACTATTGGCCAGCGCCATGGCTCACTAGGCTAATCCTCCGCCTATGGCACCGGCACCTGGGTTCTGGTCCCGGTCAGGGCGCCGGATTCTGTCCTGGTTGCTCCTCTTCCAGTCCAGCTCTCTGCTGTGGCCCGGGAGTACAGTGGAGGATGGCCCAGCTCCTTGGGCCCTGAACCCACATGGGAGACCAGGAGAAGCACCTGGCTCCTGGCTTCAGATCAGCGCGATGCGCCGGCTGCAGCGCACCAGCTGCAGAGACCATTGTGGGGTGAACCAATGGAAAAGGAAGATCTTAGGCCGGCGCCGCGGCTCACTAGGCTAATCCTCCGCCTTGCGGCGCCGGCACACCGGGTTCTAGTCCCGGTCAGGGCACCGGATTCTGTCCTGGTTGCCCCTCTTCCAGGCCAGCTCTCTGCTGTGGCCTGGGAGTGCAGTGGAGGATGGCCCAGGTGCTTGGGCCCTGCACCCCATGGGAGACCAGGAGAAGCACCTGGCTCCTGCCATCGGGTCAGCGCGGTGCGCTGGCCGCGGCGGCCATTGGAGGGTGAACCAACGGCAAAGGAAGACCTTTCTCTCTGTCTCTCTCTCTCACTGTCCACTCTGCCTGTCAAAAAAAAAAAAAAAAAAAAAGACTCAACTATTTAGGGCCTTGTAACGCAGTAGGTTAAGCTGGCATCCCGTATGGGTGCCAGTTTGAGACCTGGCTGTTCCACTTGCAACACAGCTCCCTGCTGATGCTCCTAGAAAAGCGACAGAAGGTGGTGCGAGTGCTTGGGACCCTGCCGCCCACATGGGAGACCCAGATGGAGGTGTTTTGTTTCTTCTTTAAGATTTTTAAATTTATTTGACCGAGTTACCAGAGAGAGAAGGAGAGTCAGAGAGAGAGAGGGCTTCCATCCACTGGTTCACTCCCCAGATGGCCACAACAGCCGGAGCTGAGCCAATCTGAAGCT